GTGTCAGTCTAGTTACTCATTGCTCACAGGAAGAAACATGCTTGCAGGGTGAGATTTTCAGTAAGTATGTATAAGAGTTTTTTTCTCTCCTTGTGGTCCAAAAGGGCAGTAGCCTATTATCTGCAGCTGAAGATGTCTGAGGATAAGACTGGAGGTCACACTGACATGGAAGATACAATCTCAAGAAGATATGAGGGTTCAAGGCCCAGGGCCTCAATTTACTGTACTTGATTGGTGAAACTGTTTAATACATGCGATCTTCCTCCTAGGCATCACTGAGATCTGGGACTCAGATTTTTATTCTATTTTTTCCTGGAGTTGCAGGAGATACACAATGTTGGTTTACTTGAAGTAAAGTTGAAGAACAACAAAATGATCACTGAAATAAACCCAAGGACTTAACTTGCTTGGTCCCTCTGTTCAAATTCACTTAGCTTCTCTTCCCTACCCCACCCCCAGTCCCTAAGAGAGGTAGTTAATAATTCAGCAAACAATATTGTATTCTGATGGTTACAAATACAACCATTTAATTGATATTTGTTTCTGCAGCAGTGCAATATCTCATTTTCCCAGAAGGGTAGTTTTCCATTGCTGTTCCAGGTTTTTCCCAATAAAATAGATCAATCTTGGGACTACCTGAAGGCCATTTGTTTCAAAAGCGAGCTGGTGGGTAATGTGTTTGTATGTAATAGACACAATACTTGTTATCATAATGTTTTAAACACTGACATTTATTTAGGGTTTGGTGAACTCATATCATACATTATCAGGATAAACTCTAATTTATATCAGTATATAATAGGCAAATATATAATACAATAAATTGCATTTGTACACATAAATACAAAATTTGAGGTAGGGCCTCAAGAATAATGACTTCTTAAATGAATAATGCACAGCATATAATATGTACTATATAAGATATATATGATGCATCATTTGTAACATATTTTCTTCATGTACAGTTAATGAAAAAATATAAGGACCTGGTTAAGGAACATATCTTTATTCAGAGGCAACAGTACCTGCATTTAGGACATTAGCCAAGTACACAATTTAAAAATAAACCTATTCCATGATAGGTCCATAATAAAGTGCAAAAAAAGGACAAAAAATGAGTCACAAAACAGTACCTAGTCAACTACTAAGTATCATCCTAACACTAAAATACACCTATAAGGCAAATGGCTACCTGAAGATGTATTTACTCCATGGCAAGCAAATAAAACACTGCTTCCTTTCAGGGGCGAGTCTCACTCACCTGAAAACACTTCTTCTTTGGCTGCAGAATGCTCACAGGTGACCCACACAGAGACCACAATTCAGAATTACCTGCCTTTTCTGTACACTTGAAGCAAAAACTGGGAAAGTTGGGATACTTCGCTTGCATAGATCCAAGAGTCACTTTGCAGCAAATTGGCATCAAGATGAAATCACTCAAATCTTTGCTTCCAGTCTGAATATTTTTCAACAGAAAACCAAGCATGAAAGAAAATGCTAATTCTTGGACCCTGAACTTGTGTCCCTGTAACTTCTGCACCACGGAACCCCAAATCCAAGCATGGAAGCAGCCCTCACACATACATTAAGTAATAGTTACTGTGCAAGTTTCTGGGAAGAAGAAAACGATGATCCAAGGAAACAATGGGCAAGGAAACAAAGTGGAAAGAAACATCTTAATTTTAGGCATGGCCAACCATGCTGATGAGTGAAGATCATCAGGAAGCCCTGAGGCAATGTGGAGACTATAACAAGAGCTTAAAGGAAAACAACTGCAATGCACATTAGCATAAACACCACCCCAGTCTTGCCACTGTAAAGTTCATTGTGTTTATACACATAGAGGTGTGAAGTTATACCCCTGACATTCTAAAACGCGTCAACCAAAGCAAACCAACAGAAAAAAAGAAAGAAAAAAGAAAAAAAAAACTTTAAATTGCCACTCACTGAAATATAAGCTGATTACATGTCTGACATATTAAACATACACTGGAAATTTCAAAGACATTAAGGTCACTGGGATTTTGCATTGACCCCAAATTTCATGCAATAAATATAAAGGAAAAAGATAACAAAATACCAAATTGGACACATTTGTACATGACAAACACACAGTCTTAAAAACATGAAAAGTTACCAGTATGCAAGACAAATATCTGCATAAGAAGCCACAACACCAATAGTAAGAAATATACATTTTTCCTCCTTGAAGGATATTTCAGGGTTACTGTTTTATCATATGGCTTTTTTTTTCTCTCTCTGAATGGGTTTCTGGCATTTGTCAGTTTTAGGAAATGATCTCACCTGTGGACAACACCCCACAATCCTACACAGAAAACCACCAAGTCTATCCTCAGTTATTCAGTCTCCTCATTTACCCAGTTTGAAGGGGAGCTCAAGTGGCAATGCCATTCATTAGATTTTTTTTTTCATTCTTTACTTCTTCCTGTTGATTGTTTTCCTAGTTAAGAAACCTAGCTAGTCATATGCATCTCAGTTCTTTCCATCCCAGCCATGTCCATGAACAGAGGTATAGCTGGGGAGATGCCATTGGGCTAGAAAGACTGACCCAGAGGACATCTCTGGCCGGGAAGGCCTCTACCCAGACCCAGCTCTCAACAGGATCAAAGCTCCATTTGGTGGGTAACCATTTCCAGAACAACGCAGAACCTTTTGCCATTAAGCAAATTTAACATAGAAACTTGGAAACTGTAAGGGAAAGGGGAAAAATATCCAGCTGTCTCTGGGAACAACTCCTGCATCTTGACTTGGGCTAAGCCGAGTGCATACACATGGAGCTGCATCCCACAGGTGAAACATACCAGCTGGTGTGTGTCGGGGGAGAGGGGTCCTCCATTCTCACTATCAATGCTCAATATGTATAAAACAAACCTGGCTGCACACATGGGTCCCCCCACCTCTTTTAATCATAACAACAATTAGCAGAAATTGGGTTGGCATTCAGCATCAGACTGGAGTGTTAGCCAAGAGGCAAGAAAGGAAAAGCCAAAAACCATTTGTCCTGACACAAACATACCAGTCCCTTGAGAGAAACTAATTGATTTTAGCTCTTCAGCCTTCACTTGGAAAGGCTGCAGGGTTTCCAAATCTAGGTGACACTTCCTTATTTCTCCCACCCCACTGATAGCAACCAGAGAGGTGAAGTTTGGGTACCACCAGGTGAAATCTGCCCATCATGGGAGTGTCGTGTTGATATGGCTTTCTCAGGGGAAACCAATGTTCGAGGGAGGCAGATCATTAGAGAGACACTGGAGCCAGGAGGCCACAGCTCAGCATTCGAAATGTATGTGTAGGAGAAGCTTCCAGTTTGCTTCTCTGTAATAGATTCTAGAAAAGTTCAGCTTTGGGGAAAAGGCAGAAAAGGGAAAGGATCATGGGGAGAAAAAGAATGAGCAGCAGACAAAGAAATGACACCCCAAATTTTAAAACCCACTCTTGTTTCCTTTAAAAGTTTCCACTCTTGAAAAAATCAAAAATTCACATTGCTATTGGCAAATGGTAATATTTGCCCCAGAGAGAGAACTCAATAAAATGTTGAGGTTTTTTTTTTAACAAATGAAGTCATTAAAAAAAAAAGCTACATTAAGGTCTGTTTGTTGGGCTTCATTGTCATTGAATAGGATGAAAATGTCACATCAATATACAATATTCGAACTGAAAACTTTGCCTGAGACCCTGTAATATGAAGATAAACAAATAAGAAAATGATTGAAATGGTCTCCCCTAAAGGAAACAATTTAGGTTTAGATATTATTACTGCCAGGGCATAAAAGAAAAACAACCCTGACTACACTATTTTAAATTCACCATCTCTACAGTGATTCATAAGATATTTATAAGGACAGAAAACACCACTACAATACACACTACATGAACACATATCACATTTAAAAATTTTCATATATGCATGTTCAGGATACAAGAAGATAATAAAGGTTACAGCTTCGCCAATCTCTGCAGACATATGATTTGCTCTCATTAGAGTGCAGTTATGAGAATGGTGAATTGGGAACTCTTAAAATGGAATTGGCTAAATGTAGTCTTAAAAGCTATAATCTTAATTGGCTCACTCGCTACTAACCTAAGCTGTATTTATCAGAAAGGCCTGTAAATACAAGGAACTAAAAAAGCGCAGTGAATATCGTGGTTGCCTTCTATTCAACTCTCTGTTTCTTTAATTTCTCTATGACCACAATTGGCATTTACTGTGAATGAAAAAAGTTAAGAGTAAAAATTGAGAAGTTGTTCAAGAGTTTGTGTCCTATATATATAATATATAGACAGAACCAGGGTAAGTCTTGTTTTCCCAGAGGTTGAGAGACAGACATGAGAAGAATCATGACGTTGAGCCACTGCGCAAAATGTCAGGAAGAAACTAGAGTGGAACTCTGCTAACGCACATACAAAATTAGGCACAAATGATATCATGGCTTATTTCATAAAGGTGGAGGGAACGATCAAAAGCACTCACTAATGTAGCTATTAAAAATAAAACAATGCACATATGCAGATGTGCACACATACACACACACACCCCAAAAAAAAATGTTGACAGAGAGAAGAGAATGGCTGATTCTTCACTGAGATCCGCAGTATGCAGAAAGTAAAGCATCTGAGACAGCATGTCCAAATGAAGGAAACATCCCCCAATTGTGAATGGAAATGTGAACGGAACCACCTCTGTGATGTCCAAATCCAAACACCTTGTCTCCATCTAAAACGCAATGTGGTGACCCTGAACATCCTGTGTCGGAATGAAATCACCCCATTGCTCCACTCAGCGATATGCCTGAGTCCAAAGCAAACTCTGGTCATTTTGCCATTGTTCACGCGCCTAAGAGGCATCAGAGTGATGACACACAATGGAGACAGCTCTATCAGCTGAATCACACATCCTTCTTTTGGTACCTCACTGGTAAGCATTCACTCACGGAGTTGACCCACACTTTTGGGGTAAAGCATGTGTTCTGGTAAGCAACCCTGCCAGGCTCTAACACCATGAACACAGGCAAACAGCGCTTCAGATGGTCTGTCTAGCTCTTCACTATAGCATGCGATACTATGTCCTACTTTTCTACATAACCACTCTCATGCACGGATATGAACCGAGATGGAGGGAGAAAGAAGAAAACGGGGAAGGAAACTGGGGAAAACATCAGAGGGAGGCGAGGGGAAATGGGATCGAGAGCCGGCCTGTGCCGCCGGACTAGCACTGGGTACCCAGTTCCAAATCCTTCACGGGCAGTTTGAGTCCCAGCGATGAGGTTCCCAAGGGGTCAAGCATGTTCTTATAACGCTCCCCACGGTGCTGAGATAAGAAAGGACCCCAGTCGGGCTGCGGCGAGCACACCAATTTCAGCCTCTGCAAAGAAGCCAAAGACACACAAAGTCACAGAAGCTATGTCCCTTCTTCCCCCTGGGCACCCTCCCAGTCCCAACCTGTGTGACCACATATGCCAGAACCCCCCTTTGAGCCAAGAAAAGCAGAGAGAAGGGTCAGCCCTTCTTTAATGAAGCAGTTCAGTAAAGAAGACGCTGAGCTTGTTTTACTTAGAACTGTTTTCACCACCCTGCCAGGGATCTCAGTCCTGCTCGGGGTTTGCCTTGCACAAGATTAATTGAGGATAAAGAGACCAGGTTTTAATTATACATATTTTTCCCCTCCAAATGGAGAGAATCTGCAAGCTTCTCTCTCCACTGCCAAACACAGTCAGCAAAGGACATGTGCTCAATTACTTTTGTTCTGTCGTTTCAACAGTGGGTAGCTATATCAAAATAATTGGATTTTGTTTAGCATATTTCCCCAAAGCATATAAATGGCTGGGGTGGGGGTGGAGAAAATCCTAACCCCCAAGACACAGTGCCAAGAGTGAGCAAAGATTTTAATTATCTGTTGACAAAAAAAAAAAAAAAGATGCTTCTGGCTGGATTTTGCAGGCAAGCTAAAAATAACGGCATCGTCTCTGTCCCTTCACCGGAACTTTTTACAGAAAACAATTGGAAACGTTTTCTAGGAAGAGGAAAGAAAACATATTTTCTGAATACATAAGAGGGAATGATTCTATGTTTATTACCTATTAGAGTGAAGCTGCTTCTTGGAGATGTTAGTTTAATCTCCCTTTAATCATCCGTTTGCAACCTTTGGGTCCCAAATCCACCATAATCATTTATACAGCCAACTCAGCCATGCAGCGCAGCACTCTGCCATATGACCCCTCTGTGGGCCCCCAGGACATTCCAAAGGGGGCACAGGTGAGAATCTCATCAATGGGGGCGGGGGCACAGCATGAGAGTAAGGCACCAACCAGCAGGAAGGGAGATGCAAGGGTGGGGGGTGGGGCTGGGTACAGAAAAGAAACTTGGTCGTTAAGTTTGGACAGAAGAAAGAGAAACAATGGGGCAGAGAATCTCCCCGATGACAGAAGGGGATTTCTGGGTCTGTCTGATTCTGGGAGGTTCCTTTGGGGTGCAAGGGAACTATCCTGGCGCCCAAACTAGAGGCACAGTGGTTTAACTATCACGGGGACAGTAGAACTTCCTGAGGACAAACTCTGGAGGACTGCCGGGACAACTTGTCTCTATCTCCCTGACAGAGGAAGACCCTGCACAGCCCCCACTGTGGGCCTCTAGTGCTGTGTGCTCACTCACTGCCTCACTCCAAGCTCTTGCTCACCTCCTGAGTGACTTCTGCCTCCTCCACTTCCTCCTCCTCAGTGCTGATCCAGAGGAAGCCCTTCAGCTGTTCTCCACTGCCCCCTCACCCAGCTGGGCACTCCCTAGCCCCTGCCCCAGGTCTGGACTTAGAGCTTCTTATGTGTCTTTCTTCTCCAAGGCACCTAATATCATTTTAATATCTGGAGCACCATAGTTGGGGCCCAGACCACAGGCCTTAACAGCATAACAGCACTGGGGTTGGTAGAGACGCAGGCATCAGACCTTCTGAATCTGTTCAGGTGACTCCACTTGGAGGCTTCATGGTCAATGCCAAGCACAGGCTTGATTGGGCATCAAAGCCACCTGAGGGCTTTGGCATCGGCTACAGGTGCCAGAGTCCCACTTACCCCAGCCTCGAGTTCAGGGGCACCAGCTGTGCCTTGAGCTGGACGAGGAGATAAAAGTCTAGAACCTCCAGGCAGAGGCGTTGCTGATCCTTCCCAGCACATGTAGGAAATTCTCTATTCTCAGAATAAAAAATTCTCACTATCCTCATTTCATGCAAGCCCACCTTATACCACCGAAAACCCAGCAAGGGCACCCCTTTCCTGCCCTTCTCAAGGGAGCCTTGTAGGGGGCAATCAAATGAGAAATGTGTCTAGCCACTGACAAAGAAGAACAAGTCTCACCTCCTACCAGCCGCGCTCTGCACCCCTCCTTACTTTCCACAGGCAGTTTAACATTTCACCCACTCGGGCCTCAGCCATGCCCAATACAGGCGGCGGGAAAGAGAGTATTTGGGGGCTGGAGCAATAGTACAGTGGGTGGGGCATTTGCCTTGCACGCGGCTGATCCAGGTTCGATTCCCAGCATCCCATATGGTCCCCTGAGCACCACCAGGAGTAATTCCTGAGTGCAGAGGCAGGAGTAACCCCTGTGCATCACCAGGTGTGACTCAAAAAGCGAAAGAGAGAGAAAGAGAGAGAGAGAGAATTTGAAGGGGTGGGTGAGGGATTCCCAAGAGATTCTCGGGGGAAGAGGGGCTGGGTCTCCTCCCAGGAGTTCTTAGTCAACCAGGGATTAAAACCACCATCCAGTGGCACTCAGGGGGTGAACCTGAGCCAGGCATACGCAAGGCAAGAGCCATAACTCCCTCTGCACCTCCAGGCCCAGGACACGTGAGGGTCCATCTTCTGTGTTGGATGTTTGGAGGGAGGAGGTGAACACAGAAAGAACAGCAGCAGCTGGGGTGTGATCACACCAGTCACTGGGGTTTCGATTGCAGATGAGGGGGAGGAGGAGGAAAGCCCAGGAGAGAGGAGAAACACTGGTCATTTATTCCCCCAGAGCTGCCACCGCACTGAGCAATGCTGTAATAATGGCTCGGCTTGAGGAATAATACATAATAAAAATGGGTTTAATCCAAACGGTGGCAACTGTAATCACTTCATCACTAGGTCTTCCTCTAGCATAAGTTTTTGCCAAATCTTTTTGTTTGTTTCTTTAATGCAAGAAGCTTCTCCACCCAGGAGGGGATTGCCAGGGGAAAGAGCAGATAGAATTACCTCAATAAATCTGCCAGGGGCCAAATGCATTTTGATCACGAACATGATTGGGATCCAGATAACGGAGCAGGCAAGCATCAACCATCCAAGCACCATGGACCAGTTAGGGTAGCGGTAAGAGCCGTAGGTCATGGGCTCCCACTGGTAAAAGCTGAAGCACAGGATAAACTAGGAAGGAAAGAGAAAGGCAGGCATTAGGGAGGGTGATGTGAGCTGTTGAGGTATCAGTTCCTTTGGCAGTCATGCCCAGAACCCTGGCTGTGCACCCGAGGCTTCTGCATCTGATATTTTATTTTATACCCACGAGGACCCTGAAAGGGAGACCTTAGTCATCCCTTTTCCAATTGAAGTGGCGATGTCAAAGACCTGCAGGGTGATGACGCACATGGAGCTACTGACCCAGAGGCACGAAAGACAGGGCCGCATCTGCAGACTGAGAGGTGGGAGAGGGATGAGGGGAGCATTGAATCCGCTGCATTTTACAAAACAGACTCAAGTTTCTGCGATTAGGGCTGGACCATAGTACAGCAGGTAAGGTGTTTGCCTTGCACGTGACCAACCTGGGTTCGATCCCTGGCATCCCATATGGTCCCCCGAGCACCGCCAGAAGTAATTCCTGAGTGCAGAACCAGGAGTAATCCCTGAGCATTGCTGGGTGTGACCCAAGAAGTAAAAAAAAAAAAAAAGTTTCTGCAATCAGGAAAAAATCTATGAAACTTCTGTGCTTTTGTTCTTTTTAAGAAATGGAGCTGCTTTGCTTTCTCCTTGAGGAGAGCTGCCCAGTCTCCAGGGGCTGCTTGGGGAGATGACTGGGAGGACTGGAGGCTCCCCTAGGCAGAGGCTAAACTGGGAGCTTGTCCTTGTGATTAGCTGGGGTGGGGGCCAAGCGCAGGAGTCCACGGCCCCTCTGCGCTGGGTCCCAGCAAGCAGGCAGGCTCGGTGAGCTGGGAGCAGGCAGCAGGGGCGCCCTGGGTCCCTTCTCGGCTCAGCAGCCAATTCGTGGAGGGAACTTTAGGGCTCAGAGTCTCTGTACTACATCACAGCTGGAGTATCCGGGACAAACAAGGGTCTTTCCTCAAATCCTCGGTTTTAAAACTGGCCCCAATTTCTACCTTATCCATCATCTTCCATCACTACACACTGGCCAATCACAGCAGCGAGAACCCTAGGACCTCTATCAGGGATGCCAAAGAGGATCATAGGTAGCAAGAAAAGTTGCCCCTAAAAGACAAAGCTGGAGTGCTCACTGTACATGCCAAGCCTTAGGGTAGGGGGCACTGTGCTGAAATAGTTGAATTTTTCCTGCATTCATCCTGCTGATAAATGAACCAGTATATAATGACATACGCAGACATAGGGGTCCCTCCTCCTAACCTCTTTCTCATAGTAACCAGTAAAATAAGTGCCCCCAAATGACCACAAGAAAATATGTCAGGAAAAATGATACATGGGAGGCTATGGGGAAAGAATGAAGCACTGGAAAATTGTAAAACATAGATGTTACTGCTACAAAGCCCAGGTTGCTGGGGCACGAGATGATTTCAATACAACAATAATTCAGTATATTGATTCAAGTGAATATAAACCCAAAGAAAACTGTTTTTTAAAAGCCAAAAAAAAAGAGGCTTTTATGATAAGAGGTACCTACTTTAGGTCCCTTTCCAAACATTTGCCCCTGGAGTTATAAGCTTTATTAACCAGTCTATTGGAAGTATGGCCTAATGTAATTATGGTAAGTTGCTCCATTTCATTTACTATATAAATAGCAATACATCTGCTTATGTGTGTGCATAATTCAGTAACGTGACCTGACTATAGATACAATAATTACATGGGGAATATTTATAGCTCTATAAATCCATGAAGGCACATATAAAAATGACCAATTTTATTTCTGGGGCTTTGAAGTAATTTAAACCCATAATCTTAGTTCACTCCAGCACTCTACAAGGATTCATTTTACAGAAGGACAAACAGCACAAAGCAAGTGTGAGACTCAGCCTTCGGAAACCCATTTCCTAGGACACAAACAGCACATCAAACTCATCTGCGCACACTTGTCCTCGGCCTTAAGTCTCCTCTGGTTCAAGTTAGCTTTGCTTAAACCCTGTTCTCAGAGGAGCCTGAATACGCCAGGTGATCATGTGGTCATGGAGTCAGGCCTATCCTAACCACAGCCGCCAACTAACCCCCTGAAGAGAGATTCATCCTTCGATGAGGAAGAGCTCATTGGCAGCTACCCATTGCCAGCTCCCAAAACCACACAGGATATTTTCTGGATTTCTCACTGGTGTCTGATGCAAACTTTATCATGGCAATCAGTGAACTACAGCATAGTTGGGGAACTTTCTCAAAAAACCAAGCAACCTCCTGGAATTCCTTTTCCCTGATATTTTACCTGTAAAGAAAAATTGTGACTATTTTCATCCATAATTAGCAAACTACCCTTGGAGGTCAAAAGTACTTAGGTCTTAAATGCTTAGAAATGTGTTAGTGTGAGCTTAAAAATCTAATCAGCCCTAGGGTTCAATTTTTTTCTTTTATTGTTTGCTTGTATTTGGGCCACCCAGCAGTGCTTATTAGGGCTTACTCTTGGTTCTGTACTCAGGGATCACCCCGGGAGGTGCTATGTGGTATGACTGGGCTGTAAGCTCTGCATCTCTGGGCAAGTTCCTCAGTTTTTCAAGACCCAGTGCAAGCAATATAAGAGGGGAAAGAATCACCCACCATGCAAATGAGTAAGGCCCAATGCGCTAGTGCCTGGTAACAGACCTCAGAAGGCCATAGTACCGATAACGATTATATGACAGTGTTTCTACAGAACATCCTAAAATCCTCCATAGCTTAATCTTTTAGGACTAGAGAGAAAGGAAGGTCGTGTCTAAGACAGCCAAATAAAGACAAAATCCAATCAATAGTAACTGGGGGAAATGGCAAAGCCCAACCAAGAAAAGAGATTGGAGTTTTCTTTTCACAGATCAGGAAAGTCTGAATTCTTCATTCAAGGTTTAGTCCTGAGTTCCAGAGACTGAAAATTCGACCTTAATCCTTTTCCACTTCCATGCCGCAAATCAGTGGGACTTTTCAGAAAAATACAGCCTCTAAAACATATATGGTACTCCAGGTGTTATCCTGTCCATGAAGAGGCATCAACACTGAATGTTTTTTTTTTATGTTTCAGAAAGAAACTGAGCTATTTGATTAAAAATCTCTTTGTGGCTATAAAAAAGGGAGGGGGGCAGGAAGGGAGGGAGGAGAGGAATGCACATTTTCTTTATAATTTTCCATTCATCCTGGGATTTTTCCTTTGGAGAAGCTGTAGTAAAGCAATGGTTTTCATCTGGTTTCTAGTGCCACCTGCTGGCTCAAACGATAACTGTAGCCTACTTCCAGCAGCCCGCAAGAAGCCACGAGACAGAGGGAGGGAGGGTGGCTGGAGGAAGTGGTGGGGGGAGTGGTGATAAAATTTCTGTCAATTACTGGGCTTGGAAAGTGGAGCAGGGCAGAGCCTGGAGGCGTCCATCCAGTAATGAGGTAACAGGATGTGCGTGGATCCACCTGCATAGATCCACGGTCAAGAGAGGGCTCTGATCTTTAAGAGGAGGAAGGTACAGTGATCTCATGATGAGACTGGGAGGCAAAAGCCTCTGAAGTGATAACAGGTACCAGGTCACAGAAACAATCTCAAAGATAGAAACCACATCTAATCCCCGCTATACTTATTGCAAAGAGGCTGTGCCAAAGCACGGTGAAAAGCAAGAGTTGCAGTGCCAGCCTGTCTGGGTGCCAGGCCTGGTAGCTGCTAACCCAGAGAGGCACTGGCTGCTGCTAACCTGGTCTGCATGTTCCCCGGCCTCGGTGTCAGTTTCCTCCTCTTACAGCTGGGACAACAGTGCTCCCCACCCTACAGGCCAGCTGAGAGCCTGACCATGGTTCAGGGAACCATGGCACTCTCAACTCTCTGTACAGACGGCAGGCTGGGGGCATAGAGTTCCAGAACGGAGCGCCAACCCTCTGCTGAGCACCTTTTGGTATGTTACTTCACCTCTCTGAAGGTCAAAAAGGCAGAATAGTACAGCCCAACTTCCGTGGCTCATCTGTGAACACACAGCATGGTGATACCCAAATCCTCAGATTCCCCCATGCAAGGTAGTCAACATGGGCCCAAGCAACACACTCCTTACAGTCAGAATGGTGGGGGTGACGAACGCCCAGCAGACTTTCCAGAAAATGTTTGGCTGGAATCCAATCATCATCTCTATGTCTTCACAGAACCTTTGCAAGCCTGCAGAAAGACAAGCAGAAATCCAGGGTGAGGTGAAGGTGGGGTCAAGTAACAGGCACTGTGTGCTTGGTATAACCCCCACCCCCCATGTCTACGGGCCCCCTGGTGTGTAGAAAACCATCCGACAAATGACTGCGGGAAGACTGGGGCAAATCGGACATGGAAAGAGCCATGAAATGCTCTCTCTGTGCTGAGGTCTGGAACGACTGCCACTTGGTGAAGAGGAAACTCAGCGCTGGCTCAGCCTGCCTGGCCTCTTCATGGGCACCACTGTTTGCAGAGGTGACTCAATAGGTATTGCAACAACTCTGGAAAGACCAATTAAGACTATGGTCAGTGAGCACGGGGCATTGGGAACGCCTTTGGGACCAAGAGTGATAGTCACTGGAACCTGCGTCATCAGTTCCCCTCCAAGGTCCTATGTGAGTCACTTGATCTGTGCCCTGTGAGAGGCCGTAACAGCAGCCAAAGCCAAGGTCAGTGCCAAGGGGAAGTGGCCGCTTGGTAGCAACACACACAGTCACTGTGTTTCTGGTCATGGATCATGTCAACAAAAGCCACAAGCAAAACAGAAAGAATGACCCCCTCAGGACCACCCTTAGCAACCACGGTCCCTGTGCATCTTGGCTCACGAAGGCTTTGAAGACTTTGAACCACTTCTTTTTTTTTTTTTTTTTTTTTTTTTTTTTTTGCTTTTTGGGTCATACCTGGCAATACTCAGGGTTACTCCTGGCTTTGCTTTCAGGAATTACTCCTGGCGGTGCTCAGGGGACCATATGGGATGCTTGGAATCGAACCCAGGTCGGGCGCGTGCAAGGCAAACCCGCTGTGCTATCACTCCAGCCAAGAACCACTTCTTTAAAGAAGTGAGTGGGGGATCTCCCTCTCCTTTTTATTTTTTTTTTTAATTTTTATTAGTGAAACACCATGAGGTACAGTTGTAGACTTACAAATTTTTGTGCTTGGGTTTCAATGATACAATGATCAAATGCCCATCCCTCCACCAGTGCCCATTTTTCACCACAGCGGGTCCCAGTATCCCTCCCACCCACCCCCATCCCCCCATCCCACCCTGCCTCTGTGGCAGGGCACTCCCTTTTGTTCTCTCTCTCCTTTGGGGTGTTGTGGTTTGCAAAAGAGGCATTGAGTGGCGATCATGTTTGGTCTATAGTCTACTTTCAGCATGCTTCTCCCATCCTTTTTATACTTGATCTTAGCCAAAAGGCCGAGAAGCGATTCCCATCCTTTTTAAAGGAGTTTTCTCTCTCTCTCTCTCTCTCTCTCTCTCTCTCTCTCTCTCTCTCTCTCTCTCTCTCTCTCCTTTCCCTTCTCTTAGTTGTTCTGATGATCAGGCTGCCACAATGAATGGCACTGCTTGATGGAGAGTTTGGGGTTCTCACACTTGACTGTGGTGAATGCAAGAGAACACAGACTACTGCTTGGCCCCAAAGATCCCAAAGGTAGTGCTTCAGGGATCACACACAGTATGCGGCTGTGCTGAGGACCAAATTTGAGGCTTAATGCTTACAAGGCAGATACCAGCTCCACCACTGAGCTGCAGCCTACAGGCCCCGAGGAACACATTAGTTTCTTAAATGTTTCTGAGGCTCATCAGCTGCGTGCCTTTCTCAGAATCCTGGAGTTGCTATGCTGATAATGCTTTCACTCGTTTTTTTTCTTTTTTGGGCCACACCCAGTAAAGCACGGGGGTTACCCCTGGCTTTGCACTCAGAAATCACTCCTGTCGGTGCTCAGGGGACCATATGGGATTCTGGGAATCAAACCCGGGCCAACCACATGCAAGGCAAATGATCCACTGTGCTATCACTCCAGCCCCTCACTCTTAATCAGAGTGACATGGGACAAAAATTCACCATGCTGGACCATCAGATACATGTTCCTTTTTTTTTTTTTTTTTGATAGATATTATATGCTTTGGGGCCTGAGCGATAGCATAATGGGTAAGGCATTTGCCTTGCACGCAGCTGACCCGGTTTCGATTCCTCTGTCCCTCTCAGAGAGCCCGGCAAGCTACTGAGAGTATTCCGCCCGCATGGCAAAGCCTGACAAGCTACCTGTGACCTATTCTATATGCCAAAAACAGTAACAAGTCTCACAATGGAGACGATACTTGTGTCCACTTGAGCAAATCGATGAACAACGGGAGGACAGTGCTATTATATGCTTTCATTTTAAAGTTTATATCAAAAAGTCCACTCTGGTTGTTAGTCTCCTATTTTGTTACTTTATGTTACCCAGATGAATGCCATCTTTCTATGTCTATCCCTCTCTTTCTGACTCATTTCGCTTAACATGATACTTTCCATGTAGTACCAAGAATGGCCGAGATTAGTACCAGGAATTTTGCTCCATGGCTTGGAGGCCAGCCCCACATGCTAGGGGAAAAGGCAGCTCAGATAAAGAAGGGAGCACCAAATAAAGGGTGTTGGGAGGGTCCTCCCAGGATGAGAGGAGCATGCTGAAAGTAGACTATAGACCAAACGTGATTGCCACTCAATGCCTCTTTTGCAAACCACAACACCCAAAAGGAGAGAGAGAACAGAGGAGAATGCCCTGCCACAGAGGCAGGGTGGGATGAGGGGGATGGGGTGGGAGGGATACTGAGATCCGTGGTGGTGGGAAATGGACACTGGTGGAGGGATGGGTATTTGATCATTGTATAATTGAAACCCAAGCACAAAATTTGTAAGTCTACAAATGTACCTCATGGTGTCTCACTAATAAAAATTTTTTTAAAAAATTAAATTAAATTTTTTAAAAAATCCACTCTGCCCCCCCCCCCCAACAAAATGGATCCTCATTCCTTTGGTGGCAGGTAGTCGCTGGCATTTGCTCCTGTTCCATGCCCACAAGCCCAAACCTAGAGTGACATCAGTCCTCCAGACCATTCACTCGTCTCAGCCACAGCCAGGTGTGTGCCCTGGAGTGACCTATGCTGGGTCCAGGGACTGGCCAAATGCACGGAGCCTCCTCACTGCAGACACCTGGCTCTGGCTCCTGTGAGCATGTGTGGGGGACACTCCTGCCTGCTCTGCCAATGTGTGGGCAGCCAGGCCCCATGCAGACAGCCCAGGGGCACCAGCGGGCTCCCCAGGCAAGCCTGCTGCCTCCTGCTCATCCCTGGGACAGGCTACCCCGGGCTCCCTCTGCCTGTGTCACCTCCTGCCAAGCCTGGCCTGCTCTGCCCACAGCCCACAAGCCCCACCAGGTTGACGGAGGCCTTGGCCTGCTCCATCCTTTCCATAGACCCAAACCCCTTAAGCCTTGCAAGTCTGTTTTTACCTTTTTTTTTTTTCTGGGGCAGAGGACAAAACCCCAGGGCTTCATTCATGCAAAGCATGAACTTTAACGCGGAAGCTGCGTTCATGGCCAACCAAGACCTAATCCTGGATCAAGTTCAAGAAAAAACTGGTGGAGCCTGAAGCATGGGCATGGTGACAGGCTCTGCGGGGCCTTGAGTCCAGGCGGCTGAGACTGCGGTGGAGGAGGGGTGTGCAGGTGTGAGGGACAAGAAGAGCACAAGCAGTAAGCGTGTGTGTGTGTGTGTGTGTGTGTGTGAGTGAGAGAGAGAGAGAGAGAGAGAGAGATCTCAATGACATGGGGGTCTCCTCTGTTTTGTGTGTGTGTGTGTGTGTGTGTGTGTGTGAGTACATGAGAGAGAGAGAGACAGAGACAAAGAGAGAGAGTGAGACGTGAGACAGAGAGAAAAAGAGAGGCCTGAGCTCCTCCTGGGCCCCGGCCAGCTCCTCACTCACCTCTAGTGTGACTGTGGTGGCCCTGAGCACTAAACTGAGAGGCACAAGTTCCAAGCCATCAGGCCCTCACCTCAGGGCCAGGCATCACCAAGGGTAACCTCAGTGTACCCAGCACAGTTGAGTGTGACCTTCATAATATAGACCTATATTGGAGCTGGAGCAACAGTACAATGACTAGAATGTTATTTGCCTTGCATGCAGCTGACCCAAGTTCAATCCCTGACTCCTCCAAGCCCCACCAGGAGTGAGCCCTGAGTTCTGAGCCAGGTATAAGTGTATGCTTCTTAAAGGCTAGCATGACAGTAGCAAGGGAAAATGGGGTGAGCTCAGGTCTACTATTTTAGGCTCAACAAACAAATCTGGCATTCAGGAAGTAGCTCACAACAAGTTCCTTATAACCAACTAGTCCCAAACCTCCACCAACCAGTCACTCTCACTTGTGCAGTGTTGTGGCTTTTGTCTACACAGCCCAGCCCCCTAGCCCCACTGTGCAGGTGTCTCTGGATGCATACTCCTCCTTCCTGTACATCCAGAGCAGCCTCCTGGCATTAAATTACCCACAAGTGAGACCTATACTCAGAGGGTGCCCCTTCCCATTAGTGCCACCCCATCTATATCTTGAAATACATGAAACTCCCTTGAGGTGGCTTCCACTTTCACTCTGCACTAGGTCCCTCAGATGCCTCTCCAGTTCTGTGGAGCCCTCAGCTCCCCCCAGGGCCTGGACAGGCACCCCACCATGGGTTCTCCAGGAGTTGGCTCAGAATTTATGCCCCCTAGTTGGCAGTAAACTAAGCCCCACACCTCAGCCTCTACTTCCTGTTATATTCTAGGGCTCTGAGACATCCACTTCTAAAGGTTTCCTCTTTTATCTTTGTGACAGGGCGCCCAGCAGGGACATGCACAGTTCTAACTAAGCTCAGTACTGACATTTCCAGGGAGCTGAGTGGGTGACTTATTCTTCCTGGAGAAGTGGCTGGCAGAGGCCTGCAAACAGGAAATCTCATTGTGTGTCCTCTTCTCAGGGGGCACGCAGCAGGATAAAGCAGTGAGTCAACCCTTGCATACTCACTCCCACCCGTGTACCTGAGTGCATCATTCACAAAAGAGTCTCTAGTGCTGACTGTTCACAGTGCCCCAGTAAATGGAGTGGTAAGGGGAGGAGGCCTAACCTGACACCCCAAATCAGATAGTGACATATCAGGCAAGAATATGAGTGAAGGGTAAGAACAGGTGACAGAGGGTCAAAGCAGCAGTACGGTGGGTAAGGTGTTTGCCTGGCACGCAGCTAACCCAGGTTTGATTCCTGCCATCCCAACCATGGCCAGGAGTGATCCCTGAGCACAGAGCCAGGAGTAACCCCTGGGCAATGTTGGGTGTGCCCTCCCTAAAAAATGAATAGGAATAGGGTGGGGAGCGCACCCAGGAATAAAGTGGAACTGGAATCTGTCCATTCTTGGAGGACTGGAGTTTTTTTTGTTGTTGTTGTTGTTTTCTTTTGTACTAAAAGAAAGAAAAGGTCATGGTCCAGCGTGCAGTGGAACTGAAGAGTGACAAAGAGGGGCACCTGAGAAAGGTGTTGCCCTGACAGCTCCACAGGGGGATAGTCTGTGGGTGGGATGTGAACAAGGAACCGATTCGAGTGGATACACCCAAAACAGGGGGCTACTGCGCTAGGGGGTAGTAGCACTGTAGTACTGTCCTGTAGCACTGACCTCCCATTGTTCATCAATTTGCTCAAGCGGGCACCAGTAATGTCACCATTGTGAGACTTGTTGTCACTGTTTTTGGCATGTCAAATACGCCACGGGGAGCTTGCCCAGCTCTGCCATGCAGGCGGGATACTCTCAGTAGCTTGCCAGGCTCTCCAAGAGGGACGAAGGAATTGAACCCGGGTCAGTTTGGCTGCATGCAAGGCAAACGCCCTACCCGCTGTGCTGGAGGGCAGTGGGAAAACTAAACCCAACAACTACAGGCAGATTTGGGTGGTGACTGTTCAATCTTGGCTTCCTCCAGATAGGAGCCGCACCCCTGCACTTAAGAAAGCACAAAGCGGGGGATGGTGCCACCAGCAGGTCAATCTGTATCTGTGAGGTGACTGCATCAGCAGACTGATGGCACCGTCAGGCCTTCAGATACCCCAAAATTGCTGCTGTGCCTTTGACCAGACCCCAAAAACTTGGGGCAAAGTTTACCAAGAAAGGAAATGGCCAAAGTTAGGTATGTGGGAGACATACCCACAAACCACCTCCGGCTCAGCTATATAATTGGAGGCATGGCCTCTCTGGTTCCTTATTGGACTGCTTAATGGCCATGATCCCAGAGGCTCAGAAATGAATCTTGGAACCCAAAAGCTTTTGGCAGAAATGCGTCCTGTTCCTGCAGTAGGTTACTGGGGCTGGGCCACTCCAGGTGGGAATAGGTTTCATGCCTTGGCCTGTTCCCCTTGGTGGCCTGGTGACTGTCATCCTCCAGAGGCCACAGGACAGTCGGGTTTGGGCCTGCAGTGACGATACACACAGGGCCTCACCAGACAGGGGTGGAACCGGCCCTTTCCTCCCCATCCCAGCGAGACCTCGAGTAGCCGCCTACAAACGGCCTCTCTGGCTCCTGATCAAGCTGATTAATGTCCATGATCCCAGAGACTCAGAAACAATTCTCGAAACCCAGCAGTTTTTGGCAGAAATGCATCTGGACAGCATACACGGCCATGGCTCCAGAGGCAAAAGGACTTAATCCAGAGCCCGACATCTTGCAGAAGAAAAGTGAATGGACCATGCGTTAAACTACGGCGCCATGCCTCCCTGGTAGGGAAAGGGTGTTGCTCCCTTCCGCCTTTCTCCCCCCAGCAGCAAGGTGGCCGCTGCCTCAGAGCTATTTGGAAAGCCATGTATGAGCCAGCGGTGATGGGGCAACTGCAGTCTCATGGGAAAGGGGATGGTACTGGCTTGTCCTTCATGCCCTACTGAGGTCACAAGTTGCCCCCCACGAGCAGCTCTTTGGCATGGCCATGGCTTCAGAGGCAAAAGGACTTAATCCAGAGCCCGGCATCTTGTGGCAGAAAAATGAATGAACCATGCCTTAAACTACGGCGCCATGCCTCCCCGGGAGGGAAAGGGTGTTGCTCCCTTCCACCTTTCTCCCCACCGGCAGCAAGGTGGCCGCCTCCTCAGAGCTATTTGGAAAGCCAGGTATAAGCTGGCAGTGACGAGGCAACTGTAGTCTCATGGGAAGGGGGTTGGTACCATCTCGTCCTTCATGCCCTACTGAGGTCACAAGTTGCCCCCCACAAGCGGCTCTTCAGCACAGACATGGCTCCAGAGGCAAAAGGACTTAGTCCAGAGCCCGGCAGCTTGCAGCAGAAAAGTAAATGGACCATGCGTTAAACTAAGGCGCCATGCCTCCCTGGGAGGGAAAGGGTGTTGCTCCTTTCCGCCTTTTCTGTCCCCGGGCAGCAAGGTGGCCTCCGCCTCAGAGCTTATTGGAAAGCCAGGTATGAGCCAGCAGTGACGGGGCAACTGCAGTCTCCTGGGAAGGGGGGAGGTACTGGCTCGTCCTTCACACCCTACTGAGGTCACGAGTTGCCCCCCACGAGCGGCTCTCTGGCACAGCCATGGCTCCAGAGGCAAAAGGACTTAATCCAGAGCCCGGCAGCTTGCAACAGAAAAGTGAATGGACCATGCGTTAAACTACGGCGCCATGCCTCCCTGGGAGGGAAAGTGTGTTGCTCCTTTCCTCCTTTTCTCTCCCCGGGCAGCAAGGTGGCCTCCACCTCAGAGCTTATAGGAAAGTCAGGTATGAGCAGGCGGTGACGGGGCAGCTGATATAACCAGCTATAGAAAACAAAGTATTTCACAATGCCTTTTCAGCAATTCTGATTGTTGGGGTGGGGGGGGAGAATTCTAAACAATAATGGTGCATCCTTTGTCAAAATGATGAATGTAATCAATGTAGAGAAGAGTTAAGTAGAAATCATCTGCCTCACAGGCATTGGGTGGGGTGGGAGGGGGGTATATTGGGGTTCTTGGTGGTGAAATGTGAGTACTGGTGAAGGGAGAGGTGTTTGATCATTGTATGACCGAGACTTAAACCTGAAAGCTTAGTAACTTTTCCCACGTGATTCAATAAATAAATAAAAGATGAAAAATAAATAAATAAATGAAACTATGGGGAAAAAAGTAAGGTGGAGTTCATGCCCAAATCAATCAGCTAATCAGTGGCTGAATAAATAGCAGTACTCCTACATAAAAAAAAAAAGAAAAGAAAAGAAAAGAAAAGAAAGCACAAAGCACTTCTTTAAAGGAAGTCTACTTTTTCTGCAAGTCTTTTCCAGACACAGTTGCCCCACCAGACTCACAGTTCTGTGTTTAAATCTGGCAGCCTCAAACTCATGTACTGTCACTGGAAGGTTGGGGATCTGGGAGCTAGAAACAGTCATTTCCATCTGAATGGAAAACCTGGTGCTTCCCTCCAGCCCAGCATCTGGAGGTCCCCCCACCCAGGCTCCTGAGCAGCTGTGGCCCTCTGGCCAAAGGCTGAGACTCTACCACTGCCTTTAGGGGTGGGAGGGGAACTGGCTGGCTCCAGTGATGAGGCAGAGCACAGCACAACCCCAGGCCTGACCACGCATACATACATTCACAGGACCTGTGTTTCTCTATCACATCCTGTTTTCAGGGACACGCTGCTGTGTCCTTTTTTGGCCTAGAGCTGGTGACATTGAATGTGGTTCAGAAACCCTGTGAGTCTGCACTGGGATGAGCATGGAGGTCCCTCTGCATGAAGGCAGCTTGGCCAGGGGCCACTTGTTTGCTGACACAAATAAGTCAGGGGTGTGTCCTGACTCCCACTCCCATGGCTCATGGGAGTCAGCTGTACATACAAGGGGTGCAGAGATCACCTGGCGAGACCCCCACCTCCACCCAGCACAGTCTCCTCTCTACAGAGCCCGGTTTTGGATTTGAGCCACAAGAATCGCAGAATGCACATTGCCATAGCGCAGCCAGGCAAGGTGAACGGGCAAGAAGGGAACTACCTGGAAATTTGTTCCTGGGAAAAGACAGGGTCCAGGTCTAGCTCACATGCTCCCTCCAAGCTGGTAAGACATTCTAGGGATCAGGGAAGGGGGAGAAGGGGGACCCTTTTCTTTCAACAGCAAGGGAGACCACCTATGAAGCTACTCCTCATTGCAGCTACATGGACCCCCACAGTTACTAAGTCCAGGAGATCATACTGTCCCTGCAAAGCAGCCTTCCTCCTCCAGTATTTGTCCTGGCACTCACTGTCCGTCTGGTCCTAGGTGGTGCCTACTAAGATTTCTGAGACTCCCCAGTGGCACCTTTAGTTCCTGTCTGCAATCCAAATCACAGAGGTCAAGAAACCCACGGGGAAACAAAGACACAGCTGTCAGCGTTTCCTGCAGAGAGGTCAGGCCGCTGCAGAGAGGCCTTTTCATTGCCTCTGGCCAGGCCTGCCTTCACCACAAGCTTCTCCCTTGATAGCTGCCAACTGGTTGTCTTACCGTACACATAGGATATTCCCACGAGCTCAAAAATGGCAATGATGACGAGGGCATAGGAAGCAGCATAGGTGTCCACGAGCTGAAACATGTAGATCCCACCCTGAGACAGAGAGAGAGAGAGAGAATATTATCCAGGGGCCTGGACTCACCTTGGTCCCATCACAAGTGGCCAATCCTTTATCCCTGGAAGGGCTGGGAGCAAACAGGAGGTTCATCACCTGTGTTCTCAATGGCAAACCTACGGAGGTTTGCCAGAGTGTGCAGTATTAGCCAAGCAACACCCCCCCCCGCCCCCACTGAGATTCTCAGAGCCTATCAACTGAACAAGCACAGGAAAATGACCTGACATCTTACTTGGGAAGGCCAAAAGCAGCATCTGAAGGTGCAGACGTGAGCTCAGGCAGATGCCCTAGTTTTTCACTTTAAGGAGTAAGCAGAGTTTTTCAATCTGTGTATCTGCACCCAAGTGCCATCCTTCACTCACTCTTGAAATCTCTTCTCTCCACAACGAAGGCGATATTAGAGACCCTCTCCTTCCAATCCAGCATTTCACAGATGAAATAACCAAGCCCCAAAGCAGTGACTCATTCGAGGTCCCCAAGACACCAAAATTAAAAACAGTGTGGCGTGAGTGCACCCCTAAACTTACCAAAAAACACACAAAACTACAAACAGCTCAAAGGTTACTTGGCTAAGTAATCAACTGGAAATTTCTCCCATTGGTACATTTGTATTTCCATGTAGTCCGTTTTATTCAAATAGGGCACACCTGCCTTGTTGGCTCAAGAAGGCGACAACTCAATTACGGAAGATGCTAGAAGCATCTGCCAAGCAAAGATGACATATTTCCCTCTGTGGTCACAATCTCGAGGGAGCTGGCACCATCTATATACACATAGTAGAAACCTGGCAGTTTTTCCTGGGAACTGTGGCTACAGTCTGAGAGCCAAGGACAAAAAGGATAGAAAGTCATCACTCCCCCCTCACCCCCACCAAGCGACCTGCACCTCAAACCTGTGCCCCAAAGGCCCTGTACCTGAGTGATCATTGGAAAGCCCATGATGAAGAAACAAACGCAGCAGCCCAGAGTGAAGACTGGCTTGTGTGTGCGGAGGTACTTGGGGAACTCATCTGAGATGGAGGTCACTATGGTCTCAATGGTGGCAAACTGAAAGGGGGCACAAAAACACACATTTCAGAAGAACCGCCCAGCCCAGAAGACCACCCCCATCCTCCCACCCCCCCATCCCAGAAGACTCCCTGGTTCCCACTAGGGAGAGCAGTGTGAGTTTGGACTTTAGGACTACAGGCTTTGGGGGTTGGAGCCCAGGGGAACCCAGGCAAGATGTAAGTCTCAGAAACTGATAATACAGGGGTTAGGGCCTTAACCTTGCATGTGGTCAACTTTGGTCCAATCCCAGCACTGCATATGGTCCTGAAGCACAGAATCAAGAGCAGCCTTAAGCATCTCTGGATGTGGTCCCCCAACACCCCGACCAAAAAAAAAATTAGAAACTGTGCTTCTAGCTCTGAGGGACTGATACTCTATTCATCCACAAGGCATTTAAGCATCACTTTGTATTCATGAGATGTAAATTCCTCTTCTGCTGGAGGAAAAACCCTCTTCGCACCCAACTACTAAACTCTGAGCACCTGTCAGCATGATTTGTAGGAGTCTCGGCTCCGTGGCAATTTCCCTAAAATTGACTTCAAATTATTCTTCCTTATCCTTCCCCACAGAATTTGTTTTGGCAAAATGACACCAAAGCAGGAAGTACACAGATGAAAACTGGGCCCCAGGAGTGAAGAGAGGATGGATAAAGGAAGTCATGTCAGCTTGCCGGCAGCACCTACAAAGAGGAAGTTATTCCAAGCCACCCCTTCCTCCACTCAGGAGATACACAGGCACCACTAGGCCCACCCCACTCCCCACTGCAGGATGGACGCAGGACCCAGAGAGGGAGATCGGGAGGGGTGGGGCTGGGCTAGACTGGGGAGGGTCTCACCATAGTGTCCAGTCCAAGAGTGAGCAGCATCAGGAAAAAGATGATGGCCCAGAAGGGAGAGAGGGGCAGCCTGGTTAAGGCTTCCGGGTAAACCACAAACGCAATGCCTGGTCCTGCAGGACACAAGAGAGATGGTTTCAGATGTACTCGGCTCCAGGCCACCTCCTCCTGGATGCTCCTCTTTTCATTCTTTTTTCCACAGTAAGTGAGGACTTATTCCATGCCCTCCTCCACTGTTCTTTCTTTCTTTCTTTCTTTCTTTATTTCTTTCTTTCTTTCTTTCTTTTCTTTATTTCTTTCTTTCTTTCTTTCTCTCACATTTATCTGGTGTCTCAATCAGACTTCAAAAGCACTTTGAAGGCAAGACCCAGGTGAAGTAGGTCTATACCACAAGGAGCTCAGAAGTTCAAGAAACAAAGCAGAAGTTTGGACAAGTACAAGGACACAGCCACACTGTGTGTGTCAGAGCTGAGGCAGAAACCCTCCAGAATAGGGTTTGCCAAACCACGTGAGTGAACCACACTGATAGCATTTGATAAAGAAGATGTGAAGGCTCTGCAGGGGTGCCTGGTGAGCCTGGGGCTTCTCCCAGTGATAGGCAGCCTGGCTGTGAGGCCAAGTGGCTGCTGCTTGGGCTCCACGCTGAACAGCTGCTGGGGCCAGCAGGGTGACACAGGGTGTGCAGGTAGAGATCAGCATGTGGTACTGGGCCTTGACCTCAGGGCCTAGCACATGTGAGGCTTGGAATCCACTACACTGTGCTATCTTCCCAGCTCCTGGAGACAATCTTTCATTCTCACAACTAGGGTCAGGTGTGGTGGGGAGACTGATTACTGATCTCAAGTGGGCAGAGGGATGCTAAGTGTCCCTCAAGGCACAAGATCTACCACAACAAAGAATGACCTAATGTAATGTCCTGTTATAAGGATTAGGCCACTCCTACAATGTGCCTGCCCCTAAGTGGCCTGTCCTAGACCTACCCCTCGAGGGGAAGAAAGGCACTAATGTAAAATAAAGCTTGACTCAATCTGACCTCCAGAATCTTGGCCGACAAAGGCCTAGGTAAAGATGACCCTAAAGCAAGCAGTCTCTGCGGGGCACGCAGCCAACCCGGGTTTGATTCCCAGCATCCCATATGGTCCCCCAAGCACTACCAGGAGTAATTTCTAAGTGCTAAGCCAGGAGTAATTCCTATGCATCACCGGGTGTGACCCAAAAAGCCAAAAAATAAAAAAAAAAGCAGTCTCTACAGCACCTCCACCCTCGCCCCAGTGATGTACTGGGGGGCGGGGGGGGGGGGGGTGTGGAACAGGGAGTAGTGAAGCATGGTGACAGAGTTCAAAGGGTTTGGGTTTAAATGGTCTAAGTCACCAGTTGTGCAATCCTAGTTATGTCATTTAATTTCTCTCAGCCTCCATGTTGCTTCTCTCTCACATGGAGGTGACAACCCCACCTCACGAGTGGTTCTGTGGGGAGAAGCAGGTAATCACTGAGCATCCTCATGGGCTTTCGCTGAGTGGGTGCAGAACCTGAAGGTGTCGGTTCCGATTTAGGGTTTTCTAAGAACACGGCACAGGGTCTTGGAGAAAACTGTCTGAGTCACGCTTCTCTCTGCTCGCTGCCAACCTCCAGCCTTGCTGCCTGCCTCCAGGCCTCAACAGGAAGATGCTGCAATCCTGGATGATGACCCTCAAGCAGTGGTCAGTCTCTGCTCAAGGAAGACTAAATGATAGTGGGCAGAGAGACACATAAGCAGGGTAATCTGCAGCCTGGGCACGTCTGGAAACTAGAAATCACCGCACCTGGAGAAGGCTTATAACTTACATCTAAAACCTTCCGCTTTTAAACTGGAATTTATCAGGTTGTTAGTGCCTAGAGTTGCTGAGGGCCTGGGGGTATTTCACATAGACAGCCGGCATCTCTACGATCCCTCTGCTCTCTGCATTTATGGAGCAGACAGTGGAACCGGTCCCGAAGGCTGCCTCCGAGAACTATAAAAGCCAAGTCTGTATTAAACAACAGTTCAAACAGGTCCCGGGTGTGGAACTCCGTGGGAGTCAGGTCAATGCTCTCGCCCATCATGTAGACACAAGGCCGTGAATGGCCACCGCCAAGGACAGGACTGGTGCCTTTAAATGGATCCTGACACAGAACTTTCCTGCTTTTGCAGGATGGAGAATGATTTCAAAATACCCAACATGTCAACTGCCGCCCTAAAGTGCACAGGCAGAAATATCTTTTTAGATTTGATGGCTGGGGTGTAGATTTTAAACTACACTCTTCAGGGCCAAAGAGAGAATAAACAGGTAATGTGCGTGCCTTGAATATGGGCTTCCAGAGGTCAATATTTAGCACTCATATAGTCCCCTGAACACTGCCAGGAGTGATCCCTGAGCACAGAGCCTGGAATAACATCTAAGCACAGCTGAGGAAGGCTTTCAACCCCCAAACAAAGAAACAAAACCATGCCTATATTTAGTTCATTTTGTAGAGTTCTCTTTTTTACTGAAAAAACAAATTGTAGGTGCCGGGAGATAGCACAGCACTTAGGGTGCAAGACTACCAGGTATCTGACCCAGATTCTATTCCCAGCACTACAGGAGCCCCCAACTATTACCAGGTGCAGCTCTGAAGCCCCCCAAGCATCCCTAGGGCACCCTTGGGTGGCCCTGGTCATTGCTGGCAACATAGTGCCTAGGATCCCTGGCACTGAGTTGTTAGCATGGTTGACTGAGAACTCCTGGGAGAGCTCCTCTGCCTGCTAAGCACAAATATATTAGAAAACATTGTTGCAGCCTCCAGATTTTGCCCCAAAAGATGCCACCAGGGGTGCATGTCAGGGAGACTCTGGTGTCTCTGCCCTCCTGAAAAGGCCATAAAACCAGCGGCCCCATCCCTGGGCACTGGAAAGCTGCTTTCCTGCTCTGCAGATGGTAAAGATGATGATGATGACGATGATGATGATGATGACGATGGTATTAAAACATGCAGATAAACATTAAGGGCTTGGACACAAGGAGAACTCAGTCACCACAGACCATTGTGACTCTTGCCATGAGATGTGAATTCAAAGGAACCTGTATACCAGTCAATTTGTCATAGCTCCAGAGGTCCTATAGTGAGCCCCCTTTCCCATGGGAGCCATCAGGTATAGCTGAGCGTGGGGGTCAAAAAAATTGGCAAAACTGCTTTCCTGGGGCTGGATCAATAGTACAGCAGGGAGGGCATTTGCCTTGCACGTGGCCAACCCAGGTTCAATTCCCAGCATCCCATATGGTCCCCTGAGCACTGCCAGGAGTGATTCCTGAGTGCAGAGCCAGGAGTATCCCCTGAGCATCGCCGGGTGTGACCCAAAAAAAAATCTGCTTTACTTGGGGTTCCGGGAGTGATCCCATATTGCAGCGCAAGGAGTAACCCCTGATCCCTGAGACCACTGAGTGTGACCCAAAATTTAAAAAAAAAAAAAAAACTGGTTAATTCAACTGTTTAATTCAAGAGATTTATTCAAGAGATTTGTTAATTCAAGATATTTATCCAAAAACAAAAGAATAGAACTTCCATATGAACCAATGATTCCAGTTCTTGGCATCTACTCACCCGAACACAAAAACATTTGTTTAAAAAGAGGTATGCCAGAGTGGAATACTATGCAGTGTTAGGAAAATCGAAGTCATAAAATTTGCCTATAAATGGATGGACATGGAGAGTATCATGCTGAGTGAAATGAGTCAGAAGGAGAGGGACAGATATAGAATGACTACATTCATTTGTTGGATATAAATATAAACAGATTAATATCCAAGGTCAGCGGAAACAGGAGCCAGGAGGACTGGTCAGTGGTTGGAATCAACCATAACTACATGTGGGGCAGAGGGTAGGTAATAATAGCTGGAAATTATCACACTAGACAAGAACTGAGTGTTAAAGTAGGTAAAGGGATATACCTGATAACCTTCCAGATTCTGTATTGCAAACATAATGCCCAAAAGGAGAGGAGAGGAGAGGAGAAGAGAGGAGAGGAGAGAGAGAAAGAGAGAGAGAGAGAGAGAGAGAGAGAGAGAGAGAGAGAGGAAAAGCACCAGCCATAGAGGCAGGCTGTGGGGAGAGGGAGGTGTGCGAGGGAAATTAGAGACATTGGTGCTGGGAAATGTACATTGGTGGAGGCATGGGTGTTGGAATACTATATGACCGAAATCCCATCATGAACAGTTGTAAGGGTCTATCTCACAGTGATTCAATTTAAAAAAAAATTTAAAAGATGTATGTACACCTTTGTTCCTTGTACCACTTAGCACACTAGCCAGACTACAGAAACAACCCAAATTTCCAGTGATGGATGCACAGATAAGAAGTTATGGTATATATGCACAATGGAATACCATGCACTCACAGGGGAAAAATAAACATGCACTTAGCAGCAAATTGGAGGGAACTGCAGGGCGTCAGGTAAAGCAAAATAAGCAAAGGGAGAACAAATTCCGGATGGCCTCATGCTTCTGTGAAATAAAAAAGAGAGACAAAACAAGAAGGCAGTGATGAATGATAACAAATTCTTGACCATGGTTTACAAAATTGAAAATACCAAGCAAGGGTAGAAAAAGAGGAAGAGGACTCCTGGTGACATCAGGCCAGGGGTGGAGAGGACTAGGCACTTGAGCGGTGAGGACCAGTCACTATAAAGCAGGGAGAGTGCTGGCTTTGCATATCGCTGACCACGGTTTGATTCCCATATTGTTCCCTGAGCACTGAGCTAAGAGTAAGCCCTGAGCACCACTGGGTCTGACCCCCTAACAAACAAGCAAAATAAGTAGTCACTGTACCAAAAGATCACAAGTGCTAACACTACTGTGAACCATGAGTGCACCAATAAAGAATTTTTTAAATGAATAAAAATGAGAATTGTTTTTAAAAAGATGGAGGTGAATTCAGACAGCAGGGGTAGTTGTTGGATATTTTGGGGGATGCCTTTCCGGGGGTGGGAGAGAGTGAGGCCTGTGGGCCCTGCACCAGGAATAGAAAGCCACTACCACGTGCTGTTTAGCACACAGTCTCCTGGCAAAAATGCTCTTTCCCAGGGTTGGAGCAATAGCACAGCGGGTAGGATGTTTGCCTTGCACTTGACCAACCCAGATTCAATTCCCAGCATCCCATATGGTCCCACAAGCACCTCCAGGGGTAATTCCTGAGTGCATGAGCCAGGAGTAACTCCTGTGCATCGCCAGTTGTGACCCAAAAAGTAAAAAAAAAAAAAAAATCTTTCCCCTGTGAGAGTTAGAAGTGGAAAATTTTGGAAAGGGGGCATTTCAGAGGGGAAACACAGCCACAAATGATGCTGTCTGTGCAAAGGAAAAACCAACTTTTATTTGGGCTTTAGAGACAGAAGCTTTCCTGGGCAGGGCCACGCTGAGAATTGCTCAGGCATGAGGCGCAGTGTCAGCCGGCTGTGCCTGGGCCCCTTGGCCAACAGCACACAATCAGCTCAAACACCACAGATTCACTAAAAAGTAGGCCAAGGCCTACCTGCTTTGGCGACCTGCCAGGCAGAAAGGAGGCCATTTTGGGTGGCACAAGTGCCCCCCCAAGCCTTTCCCCCTGCCCAGAAGAAAACTCTCCCCTCTCCCGTGACCTTCCCTGGTCCCGCTGGGAGTCGGAGACCCAACCTGGGAGGGCTTATGCAATTCAGTGCAGAATTCAGTGCCCTCCCTGCTCAGGGCCGAGCTTCCTGGGGCATGCTGGCTCGTCAACTCTTCAACCGCTGAAGCAGTCATTAATTATCTGTGGGTGCTCAGAGAAAGCTGGCATCATTCCCCCCACCTCCTCCCAAGAAGGTGACATTGCTGGAGCTTTGTTCTCACCAGTGCTCCCGGCTGAGCTGCAGCCAGCGAGGAAAGGAAATAGAACTGCATCAAAAAGCTGCTCTTGGAGGCAGGCTCCAGGTGATCTGGCACCTGTAGTCCCTTCCCCACAGCTCCAGGCAATTCCCACATTACCACATCCTATAAGCTTCGGACTGGGGTTAGATCCCCAGCATCCTGTATTGCCCCCAAGCACTGCCAGGAGTAACTCCTGAGATAGAGCCAGGAGTCACCCCTAAGCAGCTCTGGGTGTGGCTCTCAAACAGAACAAAAACAAAACAACAGCAACAAAAGAAACCTCCGCTTGGAGAAGGAGCAAGAGTCTCAAAGCAAATCCCCTTTATGCCAACACATCAACACATTGAAGTCCCTTCCAGAATGGTGTTGGGTGCGGGGGTGGGGGGTAGAGAAAATATAGAGTTCGAGGCACATATTAGACATGCTGCAAAATGCTGAGTGAGAAAAGTGGATTCAATGAGCAGAGAAGGAGCACGCTCTGAAAGCTCAAGAGCACCGGACAGCGGTTAGCTGGTAATGAGGGGGTCGCCAGCGGAGAGAGAAAACACTCATTCTACATCCCCCGCCCCGACCCCCACCATCCCACCCACTACTCTCCAGGAAAAAATGGTGCCCGGCTACACTGCTGAAGCAGAAGCCCTGGGAGCACAGTGACCTGACTCGAAGGGAGGACTTTGTAAAGAAATGCTTGCTACATGCCCTGGGTTTGGATTAGGCATGAACATTAGGTTGCTACAGGAACTCATCCAGCTGTGGCCAGGCAGCCCCAGGGCCTCTACTGTGCCTTTACTTGTTCTACACAGGTGGAAGACAGTCAACCTCACTTTCTCGCCGCCGCAGAGGCTGAATGAAGAGTGGGGGAGAGAGGATAAAGACAGGCGAGGGTGATGGGAAAGTGGTACTTAGCAGCGCTTCCCGTTAGGGACCGGCTGGCTCCATCTCTGCAGTGGCAGCGTCCTATTGAAACCCATCTCTGCTCCTCAGCAAACGGGGACCCAACCCCGCCCCGTTCTGTTACAGGGGACCAGCATCCCAACACAGCCTCCATTCTGGGCTCCAGACCTGAGCCTGGAGCCCGCCCGGCCCTGGTGGGGTGAACACCATGCTGTACCTTGGTCGGCCACGTTCTCTATGTTGACCTTGCGCTCATTAGCCATGAATCCAATCACTGAGAAGATGACAAAGCCAGCAAAGATGCTCGTGGCACTGTTGGTGCACGTTACGATGAGAGTGTCCCTGGAAGGAAGGGGCGGGCTCACCGTTAGGTGTGTGCTGTGTCAGTGGACAGGGGTGAGGAAGGGAGGGCTGAGTGTGTGTGCCTGTGAGTGGGTGTACACAGGCTCGTTGGTGATATGTGTGCACTGTATGCAAGCCTTGTTTCTGTTATTCTCACACTGAATTTCTGACCGTAGACCCCCACCCCCAGTTGATTTTAAGAGCACCCCAAAAGCTGCCTAAGAGCTCCTCTGGGACCAGAGGTAATAAAGGAGGTAAGGCACTTGCTTTGCTCAGGGCCCACGAGGGTTGAATTCCCAAATCCCCTGCACCCTGAGCACTGTCAAAATTGATCTCTGAGCTCAGAGCCAGGCTTAGCCCTGAGCACCTCAGGAGAAAAAGAGAGAGACAGAGAGAGACAGACACACAGAGAGAGACAGAGACAGAGAAATAAACAGACAGACTGGGAGAAAGAGAGATACAGAGACAGAGAGATATAGAGAGACTGAGAGAGATACAAAGAGATAGAAAGAGACAGAGAGAGATAGACAGAAAGAGGCAGACATCGAGAGACAGAGAGAGACAGAAAGACAGGGAGAAAGAGAGAGATACAGAGAGATGGAGAGACAGAGAGAGACATAGAGAGACAGAGAAAGAAACGGATAGACAGGGAGAAAGAGAGACAGGGAGAGATACAGAGAGACAGAGAGAAAAGAAGAGAGACAGGGAGAGACAGGGAAAGCTCACAGTAGTTACAGCTGCAGAGCTAGCTCAATGGACTAAGTGTATGTTTTGCGTGAAGGATGCCTACGTTTGATTTCCACCCCAGCACCACACGGTTCCCCAAGCACAGACCGGGGTAGCCCCAGAGCACTACATGGTGTGGTCCCCAAACAAAATTATCTCCCCTATCTGCCCTGCCCCAGCTCCTGGTACAGGGAGGTGTCTCCTCAGTCAGGTGAGGGCTGAGGACCTCAGTACTGTTGACTTGTCCCCTGCGCTGCCACCAGCCAGCCCCGGGCTCTGAAGTATCCCCACATACCTGTAGCAGTTGTTGTGAAATTTGTTGTAGGAAGAGAGAGTGATGAGGCCTCCCCAGGCAGCAGACAGCGAGAAGAAAATTTGAGTGGCAGCGTCTTTCCACACCTGTAGAAGCAAGCAGGGAGAAGGTTCACAGTCAAGGATGGGAGGAGACTTGTCCCAAGGGCACATCTTCCCTGCCCCAGGAAAAGTGCCTATGGCAGACACATAAATGAAGAACATCCATCGGTCACAGGCTCCGAAAGGGGGCTGGGCATTTCGCGTCCTGGAGAGGTGACCCCATTCTGATCAAAGGGGAGAAACGCCACAGATTACGGGCGTGCATCCTACTGATGTTATACAGAGGAGAGGGCCCTTTGGTGGCTGGATAAGCTGCGAATAAAAGCAATTTGCAACTGCAAAATACACTGATGGAGATGAAATAAAACACTTTTGGGGGGTACCACCAGGTGGCACTTGAGTGACCCCATGGTAATACTTGGGCGACCACATGCACTGCAGAGAATTGAATCTAGGTCGGCCACATGCAAGGCAAGTGTTGTAACCCCTGTACTATCTTGCTGTTCCCGAAATGCTGCTTTTGTTGTTGCTTTGTGGCAACATTTGGCAGTTCCCAGGGGTCACTTTGGGCTCTGCACTTACTACTGGCAGTGCTCAGGGGACCATATGGGATGACAGGGATCGAACCCAGGTCAGCCACGTGCTGTACTATCTCCCCAGCCCCAGAAAAGCTGTTTTCATAAATAAGTAAATAAATAAATAAATAAATAAATGGAGTCAATGAGATTGCTCAACAATGGGTCAGACAGAGGAACCCAGGTATGCGGGAACCTGGGGCTGAGATCTCCAAGTCTGCTCGGATTGGAACTGGGCCTCCTCCACCCAGCTCCCCCATTTTCCAGTAGCTCAGCAGCCACACCCACAAACTGCCCCCGGCGCCATGTAACCTCATCAATGGCCAAAATCCAAAGATTATAAAATAAAACTCCCTGAAGAGAGCTATGAAGTATTTCCTGGAGCATTTGGCCGCATTTGTGGCCATGCAACCTCTTATACTCTAGCCCAGTGATGTACCTAAAATATCACATGTGTGTTTGGTTTTAACATACTTGCTTGTATTCTTGTATATTTGGGCTTAAATGGCCCCAAAATGAAATACAACCTCCACACACTTCCCTCTTCTTGTGGTGGGAAGACGCTCACTGGTTGGATGGGTGTTTGAATACTATTTGTAATGAGCTACTGTGAACTGTTTTGTGAAAGTGTATAAAAATCGCAAAAAAAAAATCAATAGAAAAATAAAACAAGGGGTCAGAGAGTCGGAGGAAGGGGAAGCTCATGTTTTGCATGTGCAAGGCCCAGAGCTGTGATCCCCAGCACCATAGAGCGTGTCCTGAGCCACCTGCCCTGGTGGCCTCAGAGTCCTGCTGGGGAGGCCCCCTCAGAAAAAGTTCAAAAGGGGAAAGTGCCTTTCTCTACCCCTTCCTTATTCTTTTGTGCTATCTGGGATGTTGATGTCATGGCCGGAGCACTAGCAGCTATATAGAAGCTATTCATGGAGGGTGGTGGACCCAAATAGGAGCTTGAGCCCCTCTTACACTACAGAATCACCCCATCATATTCAAGGAGCACCAGCGGGCTGCCTCAGCACCTGTGCATCACTCAGATTTGATCTCACTGCCCCCACCTGCAGGCTCTCTGTGGCATGGTGGTTCACTCAATCGCCACTGTGTGCTTCTCCCCCATGTGAGAAGGTCAACTTCCTCCTAGACAATCCCTCCTCCTGAGGAGCATTTCAGAGTCACCACAGGGCTCCCTGCACTCGGCAAAGAGAAGGTGCAAATGCATGCCGCGGAGCCTCTGCACTGAAATGTGTCTGAACCCTTTCAAGGATAACTACAGTGGTGGTGTCAGTGCTGTTATTTTCCGAATAGCTCAAGGTACACTATAATTAGTAACGGGTAAGTGGTGTGAAGCAGCCCACAGCCATTAAGGGAGTTTCATTCTTCGTTCCAGCCACTTCTGCAACGCCGGATGTAGGACAACTATTCCAGAAACCTGAAACTCCCCGGCAGCTCTTTCCTGGATGGCATTTCCTTGAGTGGGCTGGAGTCAGAGCTCAGACAGACGGACACTAGCTTGCACAGCCCATGGCACCTCATACCCTCCAGAGCATCACTGGGTTTGTCACTCTGATAGCCTCCAACACTGCTGGGGAGGCCCATTGAAAATGAATGAAAAGGATTCCATGGGTGTGTCCTGCCCCCAGGTTATCAAGGCTTGCTTGTGAAGGTGGAGGGCGAGATGCCCTGTGAGGGACTGTGACCCTGTCCACCCCAGGGTACCCCTAGCAATCCCCCCTCTACCCCCCAGTAAGGTGTCAATGAGCATGTCATTCACCGTGGCATCCGTGAGCTTCTCCCACTTTGGGGTGATGAAGTACCAGATCCCAGCAGCAGCTCCGGGCAGGGTGACCCCTCGGATGAGGAGGATGACCAGCACGACGTATGGGAACGTGGCCGTGAAGTACACCACCTGCAAAAGCCATCCCACAGCTGGACTGGGCAGGTGGGCCCGTGTCCCCGCCCCCCGCTGTCCCTCACCCCTGCTGGGAGTGAGGTATCTGGGTCATATCTCCCCCCCTTCCCCCACCATGCCCGGGGACATAGAAGGACACTGAGACCAATGCGAAGTCAGAGAAAACCAGGTTAAATGTCTCTGTGGACACAGGCAGGGCTGTGGGGTGACTCAGCTTGCAGGGAGGGTGGAAGGCAGAGGGGAGGGGGGACCGAGGGCAGGGAACGTCACTTCCCACCCTGCTGAGGGTCCACCATCCCAGAGGAGCTACCCAGGAAGGAAGGGCAGGCAGCCCCTCCTCCTCATCCCCAGCCGCACCCAAAGCGGGAGGCCTCAGGTTCCACCATTTGAGATTAATTTCTTTAGCTTAATCCCTCCGTCTGGTTCTATGCAAGTGCCCTGAGTACAGCCACCTGGGGAGCTGAACAAGGGGGGATCCACACGCACTTAGATTCAAGGATCTTTGCCTCTCTGCCTGAGCAACTGGGAGACCCTGGGTGAGCCCTATTTCCACATCTGTAACCTGGGGGGCAAGAGCACCTCTCCTGGGCTCGATCGTGAGAACTCTGCAGGTTCCTGCAGGTCTCGGACCCCACACGGAGCCCACTTCCCGACAGGTGCATGCTCAGTGTGGCTGAGCTCAATAAGCCCTTGTCCAGGTCCCCTGGCTGCCAGCACTGGGCACTCAGATGATGCCTCTCATGACCTAGAGGACTCAGGACAATGGAGACTAGGAAAAGGGACGGCGGCTCCGGTACCAGGGAGGCCATCAAAGGTCCATGGAGATGCGGGCTAAGGCCCAGAGGCCCGGGGAGGGCGTGGAGGGGTGTGAAGGCACAACTCTGATGCTCACCCTAAGGTGCCCCAGGCCCGAGGCTGGGTTAGCAATCAGGAAGCAGGGCAGCAAGGGGCCTTCAAGCGTGCACCTAAAGATGGATCCTGGGGGACGGGGAAGGACCAGGGTGGAGAAAGCCTGGGGACGTGACACCCGCAGACCGTGGGGCATTGTGGCCACTCCGAAGCTCCTTCCTGCCTTTTCTGTCAGTCAAACCTCAGGGTGCAGAAAGCCTTGGGGTCCAAGATTCAGCAGAGGAGGGCACCAGATTTCAGTCCCAGCTGGGAAGAACCTGCCCCCGCTGAATATCCATGTGGACATGGGACCATGGAGGCACCCAGAGGGGACGAGCCATGCCAAGTGGTGTAGTCCCAGGGACACTGGCGACAAAGCCCTGCAGCCTGGTCTGCACCAGGGCCCTAAACTCACCGAGACAGAGACATGCCCACAGTTCCCAAGCCAGTAGTCCCCAAAGGGCAAGGCAAGAAAAGACTCTAGGCAGGATGAGGTAAAGCTGCCACTCCCACCCTCTAAACCCTGCTCCCTGGGGTGGGCGTGGAATGGCAGCAAGTTCACACAGAGATGAGCACTGTGGGTATGAGCTGCCCCCATCACCACCCACAGTCCTGGAAGCCGGGGGACCCCCAAGGGATGCAGAGACCAGCAGACACTGGAATGCAGTTGGAAGGGAGGACTGCCAGGCACTCTTAAGGGGGTGGGGCAGACTGTGAGGCTGGGAGCGGGGGTGGGGATGCACATGGATTGGGGGACCTGCTGCGGAGGGGATGAGGGAAAGTTCAGCCTAAAATCTAAGTCTCAGGGTTATTTCCTGAAGCATTTGGGGTAGATCAATCAACACAACAGATACCCCAGTAATGCCCATTCTAGCTCAAACTGACAATCAGCGTGACCACGGTCATTTGTCTGTGACCTCACTGGAAGGGGACAAATGCACTGAGGAAAGGAAGAGCAGTGGAAAGGGCAGGGCACGGGGCCTGCTGGGAGGGCAGGGGCAAACAGGGCATGTCTGAGGGTGGGTGGGGCAGGACAGGAAGACAGGAGAGAGAACAGCCCAGAGAGTTCCACTGGGAGTCACAGAGTCTGCTGTGAGTGCAGCCGTGGGAAGCAGAGGGAGGAGAGTTATAGGAGCAAAGGGATGATCAGGTAGAGCCTTGTGAGGCCTGTACTCTGTGGGAAATGGAGCATGTCTGCAGGGAGCTGGGTCGAGGACTAGCAGAGTCTAATCCTTTTCAAACCAGCCATAGCATACAGACCGATGCCTTCCTGATAGAGAATGTGGCTTTTTCACTAGCCAGTTGCTATATTGCAAGTCTCCTGCAGGGGGCGCTATGGAAGTCACAGCGGCACGGGCTGGAATCCTGGAAGACAGGGCATGTGTAGTTGGTATCACTGGAGCTGGGAAACCTGGAGGATGGGGAGAGTGTGTGCAGGGAGAGCCCACAGAACCTCCAAACAGATGGGGGTCAAAGGGAGTACAAGGTCAAGGAGGTCCCCAAAGTGTGGGCCTGAGCAGCTGAAAGGCGGATTCGCTGCTGCCATAGGCGAACCCAGTCTGCAACAAGGTCAAGCTCCCTCTGTCTGGACCGAGACCAGCCAGGGTCTCCTGGTCTCTCTGCAGCGGGAAGTCCCCCCCAGACACCCCGAATTTGGGGCTGCCCCTCTCCCGGTCACACTGCCTCTCCCCCTCCCTTAAAGTGTGCAGGCAGCAAAGTTCTCCCACACAGCCATGAAACCCAACAGATGTCCTGAAGGAGAACGGCCCCCTCCACCACATGCCCCCCACCCCCCTCCAACACAGACACAGGCTGCCAGACATGGCTGTAAAACAGGTAGTTAGGGTGGGAGGTGGGGGACCCTCTGCCAATGATTTCTCAGGACATAATAAAACACACACACACACACACACACACACACAGAGAGAGAGAGAGAGAGAGATTTGTGGATTTCAAGAAGTTTCTCTGTCACTGGTCCTGAAAGCATTACTTTTGGACTCACTTTGTGGACACAGAAACTGAGATTTGATAAGACTTAACCGGGCACTGATACAGGCGTAAGAAAGGCTGGACCCCACCCCAGAAGCTTCAGCCAGAACAAAGAGCTGTGACAAGGACATAGAGGAGACCACCAAAAGTTTCAAGTTCCTCCCCTTGGCAACCACCCTAGCAACGAACTCTTGCATGGGTAGAAAGCCTCATATGAGGGCAGCTGGGAGAAAACCTTTAAAACTCAGTCGGACAAAGGAAGTGTGCACACATGTGTTGCTGCCTGTGTCCATACTGCAGGCACTTGTTGCCTGAGCACATGCTCCGTCCTCTCCCCCTCCTCTCCCCTCCCCTTCCCTCCTCTCACCTTCCTCAAAATCTCTAAATGAAAACTCATTCGTTTCCTTGCTTTCCTCCTACTGGAATTCTTTTCTGGGAGGGAAAAGTGACAGACCCAAAATGTCTGGATAGGGGCTGGAGCGATAGCACAGCGGGTAGGGTGTTTGCCTTGCACGCGGCCAACCCGGGTTCAATTCCCAGCATCCCATATGGTCCCCTGAGAACCCGTCAGGAGTGATTTCTGAGTGCATGAACCAGGATTAACCCCTGTGTATCGCCAAGTGTGACCCCCCCCAAAAAAAAGTCTGGATAATGGGGCTGGAGCTATAGTACAGTAAGTAGGGCATTTTCCATGCACACGCTGACCCAGGTTCAATTCCCAGCATCCCATATGGTCCCCCAAGCACCACCAGGAGTAATTCCTGACTGCATGAGCCAGGACTAAGACCTGTTCATAGCCAGGTGTCACCCCAAATATATATTTTTTTTAAAAAGTCTGGATAAAACCTAGGACTGACTTTCCTTTTCTGTAAGAGCAATTCCTTGCTCCAGCCTGAGTCCAAGGCTGTCTGAGAAATGGAGATGGAGGGGATCATCTCCCATGCCCAGCAGAACAGGGGACTGTCAAGGTGCAGCTGATGGCTGCCGTATGGAGCCGGTGGAACATGATGTCCGTGCCGTGTAGGGTCACAGCAGACTTCTCCAGTCTTAGATATCCCAGGCATGCCCGGGTGACAGATTTGCATAGAGAGAAAGCAGTATGTTCCCTTCTGGAGGCTGCCAACCCCATCTCCCTACTTCATGTAAGTCACCTGTGGATCCCCATGTGGCTGGACAGATGCTACAAGGCAGGGCCCAACCCTCACCAATCTGACCTGTGCACTGCCACCAAGTCAAACACACACACACACACACACACACACCAACACAGGAGCCCCTGGCTCACCTCCTGGCCCAAGGGGACCGGTGGGAAGGGAGGATGCTGAGAGAAGAGATGCAAGAAAGAGTAGGGACAGACCCCAGCACCGGCAGCTGTCTAACCTCTGAGACCACCACCTTCATTTGACTGTTCACATCTGTTCAGACTTTACCAGTTCAGGGGAGCATCAGCTATTAATCCTTTTTTTTTCCAGCAGAGAAAAACTGAAGCCAGGGTAAGCCTGTCCCATAGAGTTAAAGCAAAGCATCCATAGCAGGCTTCCTCAGCTTGAATGAGGTCCAGCCTAGGAAGTCTCTAACTCCAGGCCTGGATGCTTTCCATGAACAGCAGGGCCACTGCATGATTTAAGGTGGCAGTCATTCATAGGGGCCAGCAGCTCCCGCTGGCAGGCCCAAGAGTCAGAGCCACCTTAAATGTGAGCCCCTGAGTTTGCCGGTTTCACCCAAGTCCCTTCCCGGTGCCCCAGGGTGAGTGGATGAAGTCAGCATCGCTTTCCCCCTCCAGCTTGGTTAAAGAATCCTGGGGTTGCCTCTCAAATGTGAGTCAGGTGTAAGCTTTCTGCACAGCTTGCTCCTTTTGGGGGGGGGGGGGGGGTTGTTGCTGGCTTCAAAACACACCTGTTTCCAGCGCTGTCAGCAGTATGAAACCTGAGCAGTAATGAATCACACTGGTGGGGAGTCACAGCGTCTAGTTACCTCCCCTGCCACCTGCAACATCTCACAGCCTGCAGAGGGGAAAAACTGAACAGGTGTTGAAGCGCCTCATTCTCCTGGATCTGATGTTCTCACCAGGGCTGCAGGCAGACCCCTGCAGTGGGCACTCCCGCATCTTCAGGGGGCCTCTGTCCCAGGGATTCTGGCTGCTGTAAGGGACAAAGTCTCACAGGAAGCTCACTCCCAGCCTCTCCACTTCTGGTCTCCAGGGACCAGGAGAAGAGGGACTGAGCGGGTCCCTGCAGGATGCAACTGCTGAGAAAGGAGTTCACATTAGGCCAGAGTGATAGCACAGTGGATAGGGCATTTGCCAACCCTGGTTTGATTCCCAGCATCCCATATGGTCCCCTGAGCACTGCCAGGAGAAATTCCTGAGTGCAGGACCAGGTGTAAGCCCTGAGCATTGCTGGTGTGATTCAAAAAGCCAAAAAAAAAAAAAAAAAAACCAAAACCAAGAAACAAGGCCAGGAAAGGGCATGACTGGAACTCAGTCCTGAGCAACTATGTAACAGTACCTCATGGTGATACAATTAGAAATTTTTAAAAAAGAAACCATGAGAGGAAAAAGAAATAAAGCCACTGAGGAATTTCCATCACAAAGGAGCGGCTGCTCCAGGCCAGAACTGTGGGATTCCTGTCTGCAGGCCCACTTAGGAGGCTTGTGATTCGTTATTTCTGGCAGTGTTTCTTATTTAAAAACAAAAAGTCTCAGGGCCAGAGAAACAGTACAGCAGGGACGGCATCTGCCTTGCATATGCCCAACCTAGGTTTGATCCCTGGCATCCTATATCCACCCCACCTGCACCCCCTGAGCCCACCAGGAGTAATTCCTGAGTGCAGAGCCAAAATTGGTCCTGAGCACTGCTAGGTGTGGCCAAAAAACCAAAATATTAATAATAATAAATGTAATGGCTTTTGCTCGAGCGGGCCCAGTAACGTCTCCATTGGAGACTTTGTTGTTACTGTGTTTGGCATATCGAATACGTCACGGGGAGCTTGCCAGGCTCTGCCCTGCTGAAATGTCATTAATCTCCCTCCATTGGAAACTTTTCTCAGTGTAGTAGAAAGAGAAGGGAATAAATTTATTTATTTTTAAAGCATACTTCTTTTTTTTAAATTTTTTTGCTTTTTGGGTCACACCTGGCGATGCACAGGGACTACTCCTGGCTCTGCACTCAGGAGTTACTCCTGGTGGTGCTCAGGGGACCATATGGGGTGCTGGGAATCGAACCAAGGCCGTGTGCAAATGCCGTACCCGCTGTGCTATCTCTCCAGCTCCTAGAGGGGAATAAATTTAAAGGCAGAGTTTACCTTCCTGCTCAGGTCAGCTCAGGGCTGGAGTCTAAATCCGAGGAAGGAAGTGCTATCCCGCCCTCCTGACTGACCCCAGGAGGGACAGCAGGGACTCAGTGTGGACCTGGACTGGCAGATGGGGAGAAGGCAGTCCAGAGGCCACAGAGGAGGACGCTCCCGCTAAGTAGTGATGGCTGAGACAGAGAAGGGGAGCCACCTCCTTCATCCTGGCGGACTGTACTCTCACTGCAGACCAAGATAACCTGATTCTGCCTTTGCGACCTATCCCCACAGTCCCTCTTGGGGACAGGTGCCCCGCTGGGAGGGCAGCCTGACTTTAAGTAGAGACAGACATGTACTCACCCTCACCCCATCACTACCACTGAAAAGCATGTGACTCTGACAATCTAGGTAGTTGAGCCCCAGCTTGTCCATCTATGGAGGGACTTTCCCAGAACCCCAGGAAAGAGGGGGAGCACCTGGTTCCAGACACCCTCAGGTTGCCTACACTCCTTCTGGGGGTTCAGCCTCTCCCTGTGTCAGCACTAGTGGTCATGTAGGTGCCCACCCAAAATCCCATGGGCAGCACTGTCCCCCTTCAGTGCAGGAGGAGGGGAGCTGAGTGCTGAGAAGTCGTGGAGCAGATGCAAATGTGGGGACCCGGAAGTGATCCCCTGACCTCTTGACAACCAGACATGAAATGTCAGCTGCAAGACAGTTGAAATCCTGGGGGGGGGGGGGGGCCCAGTTACCACCTGCTGGGGAGGAAGGGAGAATTCGCAGTTCGCAGTCTCCCCAGCTTACTGTTCCGCAAAAAGAGTTCTGCATACACTGGTCTCATGGAGTCCTTGAAACAGCCCCCAAAGGGAGGTGGAACCATCTCGAAGTTTCCATCAGGCCCCACCTGGACCTCTCTCCCCATTCGAAACACACACGTGCCTAAGACTTCTCATTGATCAACACAAGTACTTACTTTTCCCGATGACTTGATGCCTTTGGCCAGGGATGCATATACGATCACCCAAGCCAGGAAGAGGCAGAAGGCCAGAGGCCACCGGATTTCCCCTGGATACTCAATTCCCGCAGAAATCTTCAACACGAAATACCTAAGAGTCAAAGAGACACAGAGAGAGGTGACAGCCTTAGGCAGGAAGTTCCCCCACCTCTGGGAAACTGATCAAGTCAGGGAAGGGTTCAGGGAGTTGAGGTCAGGAGCACAGTCTGGCTGCATTGTCCCAGGGCCTGGGAGTCCAGGCATGCCTTCCCTCCCAGCAATCCCTGCATGCTCTGAACACCATCTGAGCTGCCTCCCATTCCCCCCTCTCCCCTCCCCCTACCCCCCACCCCTTTCCCTGGAAACAGTGGCTTGGATCAGATCTGAGGATCCCTGTAGAAACCCCTATAACAGGTATGGCCTGGGGCCATGTTTGCATAGAAGGGCCTGTTAGGGAAGCAAGCTGTGAGTGGCATGAGTGAGTGAGTGAGCCCTGGAGCGTGAGTGAGGACACAGCACTGCAGAGATGCTCACAGCCCAGCCCAGCACAGTGCCTTCCCAGACGGATGGTAGAAAAATACATCTGGTAGTAAAATGCAGATGTATTTGTGGCCCCCTGCAAGGTCTCCCCCTTCGTTATTAGTGGCTGGGGAGCCAGTGTAGGTCAGCCCAAAGTGCCCACAGAGAATGAAGAGCTTTTACGCATCAAAAACGACACCCATGAAGCTCCGAAAGTTTATAGTTACCATGCCAACCCATGGTCATGGCCAAATATGGTCAGGACCCCCTCTTTGCCCCCTCCCTATCAGTATTTGTGGAGGAGAAAGGGAGGAACTAGGAAAGTGGGATGCCTGAAACAAACAAAAAAAAGTAAAAAAAAAAAAGAGGTCTGGAGTTCCCCCCACCTACTTCTGTGCTTGCAAGAATGTCTTTGTTATTTCCACTTTTCCTAGGGCTGGAGAGTACAGTGCTTAAGGAGCTCACCTTGCACATGCCAGCCTCGTTTGAACCTCTGGGTGTGTGGTGCATAAGCATAAGTCCATAAGCATAATAAAGAATAAAAATTCTCCTTTACTTAAGAAAACACTTTTGGGACCAGAGCAATAGGATAGCAGGTAGGGTGTTTGCCTTGCATGCGGTCAGTCGGGTTTCTCTCCCCGTCATCTCATTTGTTCCCCCAGAGCACCACCAGGAGTGATTCCTGAGTGCAGAACCAGGAGTAAGCCCTGAGCACTGCTGGGTGTGACCCAAAAGGCAAAAAAAAAGAAAGAAAAAAGAAAACTCTCTCTAGCCGGATGCATATATTCTTTACTAGCCTCTTCTATCGTTCAAGTAAACACTTGCTATAAAAATCTCATGCTCTCCATGAAATGTTTTCTTGCAGTGGCACAAGAATCAGGGCAGGGGTGCTTGTGTGCTAATGTCCCTGGAACCCCTCACACTTCATCAGTATCACTAACTCTGAAATGTCAAAGATGATATTTTTGTGATTTCTATATTTTGTATTCTTTTATGGGAATTTAATTCCAGCATATTCAGATATGTAAGCCATTGTAAGTCCATACAGAGTCATTATACTCAATAGCTCAAAGATCTACTCTATCGCTGAGTTGGGTTTTTGTTTCCATTTGGTTTTGGAGGTACACTTGGCAATGCTTGGGGATTACTTCTGGCTCTGTGCTCAGGGATCACTCCTGAAAGTGTTTCTTGGGGGTCTCTCAGTAGTACTTGGGATGAATCTGAGTCAGCTACATGTAAGGCAAATGCCCTACCCAACCCCTGCCCTGTTCTATCTCAACATCTCCTCTGAGTAGTTGGTTTAAATTGTTCAGGTGTATCTCAAGGTAGCACTATCTGTAGCACTGTCCTCCCGTTGTTCATCGATTTGCTTGAGCGGGCTCAGTAACATTGTGAGACTTGTTGTCACTGTGTTTGGCATATTGAATATGTCACAGGTAGCTTGCCAGGCTTTGTCGTGCAGGCAAGATACTCTCAGTAGCTTGCCGGGCTCTCCGAGAGGGGCGGAAGAATTGAACTGGGGTCAGCCAGGTTGGCCGTGTGCAGGGCAAACGCCCACCTGCTGCGCTATCTCTGGTTAAAATAACAGCAAGAATGTTCCTCCGCCCCTCTCGGAGAGCCCGGCAAGCTACCGAGAGTATTCGATATGCCAGACACAGTAACAACAAAGTCTCCAATGGAGACGTTACTGGACCCGCTCGAGCAAATCGACGATCAACGGGAGGGCCTTTACCTTTAAATAAAATAATATTCAGAAAAAAATAAAATAAATGTGGAAGGGGGAAATAGTAAATAAAATAACACTCAGGGAAAATAAAATAACATGCAGGGAAAATACAATAAAACAACATGTAGGGCTGGCTGGGCCTTAGCCAAGGGGCACAAGCAGAGACAGCCACCAGCTGCACTAGACAGCGAGGTGCTAGTTAACAGTCTGGGTAGGTGGGGAGGGAGCCAGGACAGGACCCAGCAGGCAGCCAGTCACCTGGCCAGAGGATGGACTGGAGCGGTGGCTGGGACAGCAAGCTCTGCTCTCCCAGCCGAACAATCCCATCAACACTGCAAGCACAGGTAATCGCCCACATCCAGGAGCCAAGTACCGAGTTTATAGGCTGGTGTTGTTCCGGAACCTGAGCAAAGGGGCCAGCTGGAATCCAGATACTGCGACACTAGACTTAACAGTCTAGAATGTTCTGACCTACTGAGGCACAGGCAGATGGCAGCATTGCTGCCAGACTAGCCAGTCTCGGCTCCAGCCAGACCAGTTTCTCTGAGCAGTCTCGAGTAGTCTCGGCCACCTCATGGGGACAGAATCTTTCTCGTCCCTGGAGGAAAGCCGGTTCGGGAGTTGAATGGTTCCCAATGTAACGTTTCAGGAGTGATCTCTGAGCACAAGCAGGTGTGCCCCCAAAATAAAATAAAAAACTGGGAGCCAGAGAGATAAATGCAGCAGTTAAGGGGCTTGCTTTGCCTGCTCAACCTGGATTCAACCTCCTGAGTCCTGCTAGAACCTTACATCCTGTACTATCTCTCTGGCCCTGCTTTCTTGCATTTTGCCTCTCTTCCCTTCTAAAGCACAGAAGGAAAAAGTACTAATTAGAGGGACATTTACTTCAATGGCAGAAGAGGAAAGTTTTGCAATATTTTTGTCTTAGCACTATAAAATGTGGCAACAAGTTCTTCACACCAGCATCCTCCTCCCCAGGCCTACCATGCAATACAAGCTGCTCTTAAGGAGACAAATTTGTGGGGATGAGATTGGAGGGCTGGGGGTGGGATGTTCCCCCCTGATCACTCAAGTAGACAGTCTGCCTGTCCCACAGGTCGGCTGCTGGCTGTTCATTCATTCTGAATTTCTCTCAGAAAGTTAAAAGGTCCATCTTACTTGAAATACTCTTCACTCCCACTGACGAACGTCCTGTTGGCCTGGCTGGTGATGTTGACCATTGTCAAGTTAGGATAGGCAGTCATGCAGAAAGTTGAGTTCTTGATCTGTATTTTGGGGTGCTCACTGACAACACAGGAATCTGTAGGAGAGGTGGAAACAGTGAAATCTGGACAGAAAGCAAAAACCTGTGTCTCTCCTGCAATTTAAAACAGAAAGTCAGGGTTGGAAAGAGAACACGAGAACTAAGGCACTTACCTTGCATGAAGCCAACCCCAGTTTGATCTCCTGCACACATATGGTTCCCTCTCAGCACTGCCAGGAGTCATCCCTGAGCATAGAGCCAGGAGTTAAGTCCCTGAGCACCTCTGGGTGTGGCTCTGAACTACCTTCCCTCAAATATCAGGGAGCAACGATGAGAAAGTATTACCTGATTGGCCATAACCACTGTGGTTGGCAAATGTCTGTCATAGGCAGCAGAGAGGCCACTGTACTGTATTGAACAGCTCCCATCCATGGCTTCCTAGGGGCTGACCAGCCACTCTTCATGCAGTCTCATGTCTTATGTCATGCTCGAAACAGCCTGTGCAGAACTTAGCTAGAGCCTGCCTGTTTCAGTCTTGGGGGATGGGGTGGGGACTAGAGGGTGAGGGGGAGTGTTTGTTTTTGGGTTTTGGTTTGGAAGCCACTCTAGGTGGTGCTGAGGACTCACTCCTGGCTCTGCACTCAGGGATCACTCCTGGCAGACTCGGGACCAGATGGGGTGCCACAGATGGAACTTGGGTTAGCCATGTACATGGCAAAAACATCTTACCTGCTATACCATTGATCCAGTCCTAGAGCTTGTTTTTAAAATAAAGGGTAAAAAAAGGACAGGGAGATAGTGCAAAGGATTGTAGACCCTGTCTCACATGAAGGAACTCCGGGTTTAATCCCTGCCACTGACAGGGCCCTGAAACTGCCAGATGCAGCCCCAGTGGCCTCCAGCAACACTGAAGGGCACAAGAATAAATCAATCAATCAATAATTAAATAAATCAGGAAAAATACTGAGTTAAGTAACTCAACCAAAATCATAGTCATTAAAGAAAAGACCCAGAGGTCAGAGTGATAGTATAGCTAGTAGGGTGTTTGCCTTCACATGGCCAACCTGGGTTCCATCCCCAGCATCCCGTATGGTGCCCTGAGTACCATCAGGAGTAATTCCTGAGCACAAAGCTAGGAATCACCTCTGAGCATTGCTTGGTGTGACAGCGCCCCCCAAAAAAACAAGAATTCAGACCCCAACCCATATGACTCCACAGGAACAAGAGCTTGCAGAAATAATTTGATCACACCAAACCAGTTCTTTTTCCTGCGCCAGAAAGCTTGCTAGGAAGTTCAGCCTGAGCCCAATGCCTGGCCCCAGAGGCGAGAATCTTCAAGTTGGTACTTTAAGGTGCCCCCACCAGGCTGGAGTGATAGCACAGTGGGTAGGGCATTTGCCATGCACATGGCCAACCTGGGTTCGATCCCCGGCATCCCATATGGTCCCCCAAGCACCATCAGGAGTAATTTCTGAGTGCAGCGCCAGGAGTAACCCCTGAGTATTGCCGGGTGTGACCCAAAAAGAAAAAAAAAAGCCCCCCCCCCCCCTCTGTGCTTGCTCAGCAGGTCAGCGGAGGCGAATGCGATGCTGGGGACAATCCTACAACAGGGTCCGACACAGCAGCTCTCAACTAAGGACAAAGGCAGCCCCCAGAAAGTACCTGCCAGTGACTGGAAGGTGTGGGGTAGAGTGCTACTGGCATTGAGTGGGTAGGACCTAAGGGTGCCACTAAATGGACAGTACGGCACAGTAAGCATGCACGCGTGCGCACGCGTGCGCGCGCGCGCACACACACACACACACACACACACACACACACCACCCCACAGAATGACCTGCTACAAAATGTCAGTGTTGAAAAACAACAAAACATTCCCCAGACTGGAGGGGAGGGAGGAGAAGAAACCAATCCATGGGTCTTTGATTGTCAGGAAAGGTGTTGGCTAATAATTATCACTATTACCTTGTGACATTCTCATAAACCTGGGCGGGACACATCATTTTAAACAGAAAAAGTGTGAGGTTTTCTGACAATATTACAATGCCTCTCTACCAGCTTTACCAATACTGATCACATGACTGATATTTTAATCTCAATGGACACTAGTTTATACAGGAACAGAAAGGAAAAACAAATTACAGTTCGACAGTGTTTGCTATATGCTCTTTGAGTTATTCTGGATGGATTCCCTACTTTAAGTCTCCCGTCACTCATAGGACACAGGCCTGATCCTGTTCTCTAGATGACAGAGAGAAGCAGGAAACCACAGCTGGCAGAACCAGAGCTAATCTGTCTCTCTCCCTTTCTTTCTTTCTCTTTGTCTCTCTCTCCCTCCCTCTCTCTGTCTCTCCCTCTCTCCTCTCTTGTTCTCTCTGTCTCTGTCTCCTCTCTCCTCTCTGTTTCTTTTTCTCTGTCTCTTCTCTCTCTCTCTCTCTCTCTCTCTCTCTCTCTCTCTCTCTCTCTCTCTCTCTCTCTCTGCAGGTCTGTTAGTCCTGCTCTCCTGCTCTCACCCCTTAACTATGAAGCAAAAGGAGAAATTCTAAAAAAAACACGCTCAAAAGTCAAGCTGTTAACACAAATGGGAAAGACAGAAACTGGGGTGTTGGAGACTGTGACAAATCAGAGCAAACCAGTCTGTTAGTATCATGCTTTTCTAGGGATTCTGGCAATGCAGAGACTATCAAATCTCTCTACCTAAAAATGCTGGTGAACAGAGACTGGTAAATATCAAAAAGAACAAGAACCAGTGCTGGCGTGGGGTGGGGAGACAGGGACTCTCATTCATTGCTGGTGGGGAAAAGGACTGGTTCAGACTTTTTAGGAAACAATATGGACAGTCCTCAAAAAACTAGAAATTGAGTTTCCAAACAAACCAGCGATAGCAATCCTGGTAATATATCCTAGGGGTCTGAAAACACACAGCAGAAACGCCATCTGCACTCCTATCACATTGCAACACTATCAACAACTGCCAGAATCTGGAAACAACCCAAGTGCCCGATAACAGATGACTGCATAAAGAAACTATGATACATTTACACAATGGAATACTACACAGCCATTAGGAAAAATGAAATCATAAAATTGTCTTATACATGAATAGAGAGTATCATGCTAAATGAAACAAGTCAGAGGGAGAAGGGCATAGAGTGATCACATTAATTTGAAGGATATTAAAAATAAAAACATAGTATGGGAATAATGCCCAAAGGCAGTAGAAACAAGGGCCAGGAGGATCAGTCCATGGAAGCTTACCATAATTTGGGGGTAACAGTTAGGAAAGAGAAGGGACCACTATGATAGCCATACCTGGAAATGATCGCTCTGGACAGGAACAAAGAGCTGACAGGAGGCAAAGTGATATCCATAACAATATTGCCTCTCCATAACAATATCACAAACCACAGTGCCTAAACACACACACACACACACACACACACAAACACAGAGAGAGAGAAAAAGAAAGAGAGAGAGAGGGAAGTGTCTGCCATAGAGGCAGGGTGTGGGGGAGAGGGGTAAATGAGGACATTGGTGGTAGGAAATGTATACTAGTGAAAGAATATTGTATGACTAAAACCCAATCATGAGAGGCCGGAGCAATGGTACAGTAGGTAGGGCATTTGCCTTGCACACGCCTGACCCGGGTTCGATTTCCGACGTCCCATATGGTCCCCCAAGCACCACCAGGAGAGATTCCTGAGTGCAGAGCCAGGAGTAACCCCTGAGCATCATTGGGTGTGACCAAAAAGCAAAAAAGAAAGAAAAGAAAAGAAACCCAATCATGAACAACTTTGTAACTCTATCTCATGATAATTCAAGTTTATTTTTAAAGTCATATAGAAAAAATGCTGGCAATGTCAGGGCTGGAAAGATGGTACAAACAGTAAGACACATGCCTTGTAGGCAGCTGACCCAGGTTCAATCCCTGGCACCGTATATTGTCCCCCAATTACCACCAGGAGTAATCCCAGCAGTTTTAGGTGTGCTTAAACACAAAACAAAACAAATACTAGTAATGAAGTCAATTTTATTTTAGTGTTATGGACCCCCAAAGCACATGGAGCCTTGATTTGGTTTGTGGACCCCCAACTGATGTCCTTTATGAAATAATAAAATGCTACCAGCCCTAGCAATTTAGATGAGTTCCTTTATCTGTCAAAGGCTCCAGTTTCTATAACAGTTTTAGCTTGTTCATAAGATTGTTGCCAGAATGAATTTAAGCTCATGAATGAAAACCTTTCATAAAATGCCCAACACACTGCTCAGTGCAACACTTTTTGAATTCTGAGACCTCGCCAGGTGGTTCTCAGGGGATATTCTGGGTGTTACTTTGGAGTCCATAAGGTGGCAGGGATCAAACCCAGGGCATGTAAAGTCCTTTGAGGGAATAGTCTCTAAACAACACTGGTTGTGGCCCCAAAAACTATAAATAAAAAAAAAATAAAACCAAAAATAATCACACTGGTTGTGGCCCAAAACCTTTTAAATAAAATAAAACCAAGAGCAATCATCACTCTCAGCATTTTTGTGGCATAAGCATCTCCAATCCTTAACACCTCCCCACTTCTGTTGGCCATAAATCATCTCCTGCCTCCCACACCCACTCCAAAAGGTGATGGATGCTGGTTAAAAATGCAAACAACAACGAATCCCTCCTTCCCCTTAGTTCTTTAGAGCAGGTGTCAACAAAAGCTGTATACTGACATTTTGGACCAAAAAACTATTGCTGGGGGTTGTCCTGTGCATTGCAGGATATTTAAGCAGCATCCCTGGCCTCTGCTCAGTAGATACCAGGGACTTCCAACCCTCCCCTGTAACAACCACAAATGCCTGCGAGCTTTGTCTTCTGAAAAAAGGTCCTGGGGTTGAGGATCACCACTACCAAGTCCCTAAAGTGCCTTCTCACCCAACACCAGTGTAACCAGAGAGCAGGGAGTCTAATAGCTCCATTCTTTACCGAGGATGCATTTGCAGGCATCGACCTGAGTAGAGCAATGAAAGCACCACTCATTTCCCTTTTTAAAAATTTTTAGATAGGGGTGGAAATGGGGGGG